TTATGATATCCTTTAATACACTACACTGCATTATCAATTAGAGAGGGGACACATTTTATAGTATTTTTACCACCTTACTGGACTACGAAGCTCTGTATGTATGACATGTATGTTGTGTATGCAAATACACATACATGAACAGTATTGATTGAAATGGATGGTACAAATATTAGTTAGGGGATAAAAGAACCATCGATAAGATCTTAAGACTTAACGAAACAAAGGCATGATTTGCACAGGGATTCCCCAATCAATTAGGCCATCTTTGTGAAGACTACAAAGACAGACAAAAAAATCTAACAGTAGCTTTGTTTCATGTTGAGTAGTGTTGTCAGATGAACATGTGTCTTGTTGACTGGACAATCTACCATCATAGAGAGTCTGCTCCTTAACCTCAGGGGTTTCCATGGAATTCTGGTCTAGGACAGCCAGTACAGTATTACATTTATGACATCCTGTTGATGTCACCAGATCAGGAAGCTAGAACACTTTTCTGGGTTTCCCAACCTGCAGTCATTTTAACACTGTGGGTCGAGGCTAAATTAATTCCAAGGAAAGAACTGGACCAGGAGTCAGAAGGTTTGGCCTCTACCACTTGATACCCTTGGATAATCTTTCAAATCCCATTTCCTCATTTACAAAACAGGATTATAGTCTAGTTGTGATTCTGATATTAACACATGTAAAAGTGCTTTGAGACTGTAAAGTGCGATAAAAACATAAGGGATTACCATATAGGTTCTACCTGGATGTCTCAAGTGGCCTTTTCTGGAATCTGATTGAAGCTTTGTGAGATGCTGGGTAAAGGATTCCTTTGTAAAACTCCTTACATTTGTGTGAAAAGTTCTGGTTCCTGAATAATCCCAAAGATGCTATGAGGACTTCACTAGGCCTTTGTTTTAATCCCAATGGGTCAGAATATCTGCTTTCTCATTCAGTAGGATACTACAGATTTGACGTGGAAAAAGAATAGCGTCCAGTGACCTGCATGGGATCCTCAAAACTTCATAAACATTTGAGATTGTGGGTTGTGGTCCAATGTTGTTCTCAAGATGTTACCATTCTCCAGACAATGTTGAGAACTAAGAATCCCCTGGGTCCAAATTTATTATGTGTCTCTGAAGGGTTTAACTGAAGAAACAAAATACACACTCATGGAACACACTGAGCCTCTGTTGTGATGAAACAGTTCCAGCTATTTGGCTTGAGGAGTCTGACTTCACATAAAGGATGGCGCTCAATCTGGGTAGAGGACAGGAATGGAGGTGAAGACCACATCACGATGGCTGGATGTCCCTTGGGTCACAGTGGTCCACTGGAATGGTATCTTCTTCAGTAGTAAGGTGACAGAAATCACCACGGACAGAAATCCAGGTACCAGATCTGTAGGCTGAGTGAACAACACAAGGAAGATGGTCAGAAAGTCCAGGGACAAAACAGGTAAGATAACAAACGCATGGAATTACAAACACAGGACTCTAACACCGGAGTGGCTCTGCAGTCAGCACATCAGCTGCCGGATGTGTACTAATTCTTGATAAGCCTGACTGAGAAGCTCACAGATAAATGAAAAAAATGAGCTTTATAATCAACAATCAGTGATGAGAAGAACAAAGAGTTCTCTGGCAAAGATTGTTTCCGGACTCTTGAAAATAACCATCTTAGAAACTGCCCTCAGTCTTATACTTTAGGGGAGTAATTTGATTGTATTCAGGCTGCTGGGCAGTGGTTGGTGGGAAATAAAGAAGGGCTCCACAGGAGCCACAAGAAGAACTGAAGTTTACATACTAACACCAAGACAAAGGAGATATTGCCCTTCTCCCTTTCCAATGCCTTTCCTAATAAATTGTCTTATTCATTTTGACAAAATCTCGAATGGGAAAGAATAATGTACCTAGGTAATAAGGCCCTGATGCACGCACCCTTCTGTAATGCTCTATGCAATAGATTAATTTCTCTCCGTTTGAAGTCTCCTAAAATCTTTTTAAATTCAGAATTTAAAAACATGAAGCCAAGGAAGAAACATGGCCCATAACTAGTGATCTTTTTCCTAATTCAGAGTAACCAGGCTGTCACACGATGATTAAGCAAACACTTACTGAACGCTCATTCTGGGAGAGCCTGCTCTCTGAATTCCTCTTTTCTATTAAAAGCTCCATCACATGTGGTAGTATGTGTGGGCGAAGATTCGAAGACCCTTTTTTTCCAAGGGGCTTGCTATCTGCAAGAAAGCAAATAAAAAAAGCATGCAAATAACTACTTTACAGGGCATCAGGTACAAGGATAAAAGATACTGAGAAAATGGCCGAGTTTTGGCAGGTGAAGAACCAGAGGAAGACATGTCAGGGTAGAGAAGAGTATGAACAAAAGTGCAGAGATGGTCAAGAACGAGTCATTTGGGGAAATGGCAAGTACCGTAGTTCACTTGGGATGCAGCGTCATCAGAGTTTGCACTGAGGTCTGGCAGAAACTCAGGTCTTCAAATTCCCAGTAACAGCGCTAGTGGCATTGCTTGGTTAGTTGTCGTCTCTCTTCTGAAAGCGAGGTCAATAGTCTCCAAAGTAAACATAGCCAGCTCCAGAGTTCCTGTCACATCCTCATAAACGCATCCAGGTCCCAGGTCTTGCAAATCTGGAGTCCACGCCGTGGCTAGTAATGGGCATCGGCTCCAGCTAGTGCGAAACACTGTAGTGAAACCCTTTCAACCCTCTATCCTGGACATCTCGTGTTTTGTCACAGAATTTCAAGCTTTGAGTTCCAGATGTTTGTGTCCCTCTTTTCTGCTGAGAAAAGCATCTTCTCACCACAATCAAGATTCGGTGGCAGTACATCCAGGTTTTATTACAAAAGACCAACACATTTCCCCCCAAATAAGTTATTTCTCTGGAAGTGAGATCATCTGTCTCTGCCCTTTAGGTAAAGGGAACAGTCAACTGATTTTTTTTTCCAGACATTTGTATGCAATAGCAGAACCGGGTAACACCTAACCAGACAAAATACACTTAATCGTGTGTGTTCGTTTGCTTAGAGTTGCACCACTCCACAAAACAAAAATGTTTGAAATCCAACTGTTCAAACATTTCTATAGTGTTTGCTGGGTAAAAGCAGCTGACAATTAACAAAGAAGCAAAAAAACTGGCATTTTTGGCCACCTTAGCAACACACTTGCAAGCAAATAGAATACAAAGCAGTCCAGGAAAAAGTTAAGCTTGGGGAAACTTCCAAATCTACTGATTCTGAGGTTCAGCACAGGTTCAAACTCAATTTTTCAGAAAATGTTAACCTTCAATTAATAAAGATAACCCCCCCAACATCTTCAGGAATTCCATGCCTGGATCAGTCTGTTCGTTAGCCAGCTTCCGAAAAATCCACCTGCACCATTAATTAGCTAGACTTGGCAGCACCATTTAAAAATAAGCCTGCTCACTACCAACCACATAGACTAGGGGTATAAAATAGGAGCGAGGAACAGATGGCAAACATGGTCGTGAAAAATGGTCAATGAAAGAGTCAGAAAGGTAGTCAGGCACCAGTATAAGCAGCAACAAAATTAATGGGCCAAAGATTAAATAGGTTTCTTGATATCAGAGAACACATCCACTCCTAGTTTCAGCTGCTTTATACTGGATGCCACTGTACCATATGCATTAGCCACCCTGCAGGCACCCCCCCATGGGGAAAGGAAAGGACTCAGGGAAAAAGCCAAGCAGTGGAGTGTTGTTACCCCAATATCCATTATGCACAGAAAAGCTCACATATCCCAGGGATTCAAACAGGGGCTTCAAATTGGTTGTGAAGGATCTCAAATGACATCTAGGCCTCAGTTTCCTCCCTGTGGCATAGAGAGATTGTGGTTAACTCTTTGGGGGTGACAGCTCCCATTGAAACCTTGTTGGCGATGGATCCTCATCCCCCTAAAATGCACATTCCCACTAATTTCTGCATACAATTTCAGGGAGTTTGGGGATTTCCAACTCCAATCCAAGGTTCCCAGGTTCAAAAAAAAATCGATGGATTGGGCAATGGCTGTTTTCTTACACATCAGAAAATTTTACAAATAATAATGATCCCTTATGTACACTGACGCTTTGTGGTTTTACAAAGCGCTTTTAATCCCACAAACATCGACAGAGGAGGAAACTGAGGCGCAGATTACAGAGGGACTTGCCTAAGGTCACTCGGCCAGCTGGTGGCTAGGCCCGGAAGCAAACCCAGCTCTTCCGACTCCGGAGCCCGTTTCCCGGCCCGGAGCTGCCGCCAGGGCTCCCGCCTCTCACTAAGGCGGCATAAGGAGGAAAAGGCAAAGTAGAAAGCCCACCACCAACCATCCCCCAGCCCCTTCCTGTCCCTCCAACTGGGTCCTTGCAGGCCCCGAAGGGTGGCGCCAGGCCTCCAGGCCGGCCCCGGCCGCCCCCGCTTCCCCGGCCGCGCCAAGTCCCGCCGCCGCCTCCCCGGGAGCGGGGCGGAGCAGCTGCCCGCCACCGCCAACCACCCGGACGACTCCTCGTCGGATCGCAAACGCATAGGCCGCCGCCCGAGTTCTGCGGACGAGAAGAAAGACTCGGCGCGAGCGCCAACGGCCACCGGGCGCGCGCCGCGGCGGCCGGGCCTGCGCCCCAAGAGCTGGATGCCAGAGCAGGAGAAAGAGCCGCCAACCGATCGCTCGATCGACCGCGCGCCCGCTCCGTCGCCCTACCAGACCGGGGAGGGGGGGAGGGCGCGCCAGGGCTTCTTCGAGTTAGGGGCCTGACTCCCCGGCGACGAGACAAGATGGCTCCTCCGGTCCGCACCGCAGCTACCGTCCCGGCTGCGTCGCTCGGCCCGCCCCCGGTACTGTTTCTTTAAATGGCGGAGAGGGTCACGAAAGCAGGAAGAGAGGCGCGTTCTGTCACGTGACAGGGGCGGGCCCAGCGAACAAGATCCGGTCACGTGGACTCATTTTGCTTACCAATCAGGACGCGTCGTTTCAGGGCGGGGGCGGGAGGAGCTGCGGCTCTGTGATTGGCTGAATGCGCCGCGGAGGCCTCGGGGGTTCGGGGCGTCGGGGAGTGCGCGAGGGAGCGCGATTCGTGTGCATAGGCGGAGACAAAGCGGTGGCTGTGGTGGCCGCAGAGGCGGCTGTGAGGCAACCCTGAGGGCCGAATTTCGCGGTGCTGAGTCCGGTCATCATCTTATTCTGCGCGGCGCACGGAAGGCTCGTGTCTGGGCGGTGGCGGCGGCGGCGGCGGCAGTGGCGGCGGACGCGGCGGCAGCACATGGTTCCAAGAACAAGCTGCGGTTGTTGGGTTCCAATTCCGTGGGGAGGGACAAAGGCAGCCGCGAGCGCCGGGCAACGCCCCGTCGGGTGGTGCGCTTGCCATTGCCCTTCATCCGGGCTCTGAAAGCTGGGCCCAACTCCTCTCCTGGAGCAGAGGCCCGGGAAGGGCCTGAGCGGCCGAGGCCGCATTCCGAGGAGAGTGGGGGAGGGGCGTGCCCGTCTGAGGTGACTTGGGCGGCTTCGCTGTGAGGCGCTTTTGTGGGTCATTGTGAGGTAATCGAACTCACTACCCTTAGGAGAGCGGGGTGGGGCTCTGTACGCGGGAGTCCGCCGTCTGCGGTTAAGAGAGATTTCAGTTGGGAGTTCGTGAAGCCCTTACTTACCACACTATCGCCATCTAAACCCGAATCATGCCCACCAGGCTGGTGCCCATGTAAGGATCCTGGGATCATTGGTGGCGAAGACATGGGTGATTGTCCGGTTTTATAACAGAAGTTGTACATTTCCGGAGTGGGAAGTTCCCTGGAAGAACAAGAAGAAAACGAAGAAGGAGCAGTAATAAAAGCGCCCACTCCAGTACCATTACTTCAAGATTATCCACATCTCGACTCATTGAACTATCTCGCAACTTAACGGGAAAAGCTCCCAAGACTACAGTTGTAGGACAATTCTATTCAAAATATTATGTCATAGTCTGAGAAGATAAAAAAAAAAATACTTAAAGGAGGAATCAATTGTAATTTTAGACATCTCTGGCTATATTTTGGATAGGTTCGCAGTAAACTTGTTTAAGGAGCACAGACTTACCAAACCTTCCTGGAAGGAATCCTGGAAAACCTATTTCATTGTCAGGCTGTGTTTCCCAGTTCGTAGGTAAAGGCCCGAACCTCACTGCAATTATGGCTTTCACAAATTACAGCAGTCTGAATCGAGCTCAGCTAACCTTTGAATATCTGCACACAAATTCGTAAGTATCCTGTAGGTGCCACTATCGTCACCGATAACTCATTTCTTGATATTAGTATGGAAACCCTCCCAGGAAAGTTCGCTTTTTCACTTTTGGGGATGAGCCTTGAGCTCTATATGGAAGAACAGAGATCAGTGAAACATTTCTTGCTAATCCAGAAGAATATGACCATTTATTGGATCAAAACTTATTTGTTCAAATGCAAACTAGTTATTTGAGGTCACTATATCGAGTTGTTTCTGAAGTGTTTGATAGGAATCCAAGTACTGTTCTTTGGATCACCAAAAGTTGGACTATTCTAGCATATTCGCTTTAGTGACAACAGCAAAAACTGTTGGGCTCTAACAAGTTTTTTTTCTTTCTAACAAGGGGGGCAAAAAAGAAGACATTCAAGTGACAGCTTGTGAGAAGAAAGTATTAATTTTTTTCCTCCAGCAAACAGTTGGCTTTATATTCCTTGGGAAATTTGTCCCCGCAGCCGACATTGTTTTCATATGCTACGCAGGAAATAGCAACTTGTTTAAACCCATGATTTAAATAGCCGCTCTCCAAAATGTGTGCAAATCTCAGAACACATGGTGTTCGATGTTCTTGGGTTCATGAAGAGATTACCATCACTCCAGATTGGTCTGGAAAGTTTCAGGGTTCATCCTTATGTTCACTCTCTTGGAAGTGATTCATTAGGCTCATAACTACTTTGTGTTTTAATAGGGTAATTTGTCACTTTTGAGATAAAGGTAAGTATTCTAACATTTTAGTATGTGGAGAGGTGATGAGCAGCTAAATCATGGCCCAGAGATCTGAAGACTCACCTTCAAGGCTGAGAATATAGACTTCAGTTATCCATTAATAGTATAATTTTATCCTTTTATGGGAAAGGACTTAGAAACAAAACCAAAACCCTAAATTCCAGAGTCATCTTTGTGATCATGTGTGTGATTTTTTCGATTGCTATTTTTCCTATCAAAATTTTTCTAAGTGGAGTGAATTGTCAAACTATGAGAACTTGGTTTTGTTTTATTTAGGAAGCTTATTGAACTAGAGTGTTTTAGAGTAGGTACTGTAAAGGTTACCTACGTGAATTCTTATGGTTGGTGAACTTGAAATCCAGTTAGGTAAGGTTGCTGACTAGTTTATAACATAGCCTTGCTATCCTTTATGTTTGAACTGTCACATTCGGAACCAGCAGTGGAAGGCCACTAGATGTTCACAGATGATCAGGCTTTGCAATGAGGGGCCAAATTTGGAATAGCAGACTGTTTGATAATCTTGGAAGAACATGAATGGGACTTCTAAACTGGGTTCTTGTTCCAGCTTCCCCAGACTTTATTTGATTATAAAATAATAATAATTAATTGCTTCATGCCACTACTATTTTAAACATGGCTGAAAGTAATCTTTATAGCAACACTGCTGGGATTATTCCTATTTTGCATCTGAGGAAACAGGTTAAGTTTCATGCCAAAGGTCACACAGCTGCTAAGTGGCAGATTTTAGGCACTAAGATTTATCTGCCAACAGTGGTTAGTGCTTTTAACCATTAGGCAATACTGGCTCTAGTCAGTTTTACCACTTTTATAAAAAAATATATTTTTATTGATTTCAGAGAGGCAAGGAGAGGGAGAGAGAGAGAAACATCAATGTGAGAGAATCATTGATTGGCTGCCTCCTGCATGCCTTCCACTGGGGACTGAGTCCACAACCCAGGCATGTGCCCTTGACCGGAATCAAACCCGGACCCTTCCCTCGGCAGGCCAACGCTCTATCCACTGAGCCAAACCGGCTAGGGCCAATTTTACCTTTAAGGTCGTCTTTCCTTGTCTATATAGGAAAGGGTTTACTTCTCACTTTAAAAGTCTTCAGTTTTATCTCAGCCTCTAATTTGGAGGATCTGGGATATTTGTCTCTGCTTATTTGTTTTGCTATATTATAACTTAACAATAGGTGGACAGAGCCAAAGCAAAGAATTGAACCTCAGTTAACTCACCAAAGCGATATTGGAGAATTTTCTGTGAATTTGATTTACCAGTGTTGAACTGGAACCACCTGCTTGCATGGACATTTGAGGTTGGATGTATCATTTTGGAAGCTCTGGGATATCTGGATTACATTGAATTTGTCTACTTTTGAATATGTCCACTTGTGCCAGAAGAAAATATGAACCTAGAATAACAAGACAAGTTTCTGGTTTGTAACTAATTTAAAGAGATTTCTTTAATGTGGTGACCTGACTGGAAGTTCACTTCTAGAGGAAACAAAATTTTAAAGTAAAAAATTTTGTATTGTTTTACAGAGAGAGAAACAGAGACACAGATATCGATTTGTTCCACTTATTTTATGCATTCATTGGTTGCTGCTTGTATATGGTCTGACCAGGGATAGAACCCACAACGTTGGCATATTAGGACAACGCTTCTAACCAACTGAAATACCCGGCCAGAGCCTTAAATTTTCTTAAGCTGTGACTTGATATGTTTTTTTTTTAAATATGTATTTATGATTTCTGAGTGGAAGGGAAAGAGAGATAGAAACATCAGTGATGAGAGAGAATCATTGATTGGCTGTCTCCTGCACACCCCACACTGGGAATTGAGCCCTCAACCCAGGCATGTGTCCTGACTGGGCATGTGTCCTAACCGTGACCTCGTGGTTCATAGGCCGATACTCAACCACTGAGTCAAACTGGCCGGCCTTGATACTCTTGATGGTAGATGTATCTCCTCTGTGTTAAGTAGTGCGGTGTCACCTTCAGATAAGGCGAAATTTGTCCTACCAGTATCGTTGTCTTTGTTTTGTTATAATGTTAAAAAGATCTTAGGTTGCCTGACATCTACATCTACAATACGGTGGGGCCTTGACTTACGAGTTTAATTTGTTCTGAGACCGAGCTCGTTAAAGAGCTCGTTAACTCAAATTTACTCTATCAACTCAATGCAAAAAATCGGCTGAGAGACAGCTGGTATCTCAAAAACTCGTTAGTCGGGACACTCGTAAGTCAAGGCCCCACTGAATAGCCATACTGTGAATTATGAAATGGCCCTTTCCCTACCTCCTATTTAATGTAGATTTGCAAGCAGAACCCCAACTAGAAGGATGGAAAATCGTTGTGATGCAGTGGAAAGATCATGGGCTTGGGAGCCCGCCAAGCTTGGGTTTGATTGCTTCTTGGCTATGTCCTTGGGCAGAGGTCAAATTCTCTGAGTCTTCATCTGTAAAATGGGGCTAGTTTGACAGTGTTTTTGAGTATTATGTAAAGTAATGGTTATAAAATAATTAGTTTATACATGATACATGGTAAACATTGAATGGGTGATGATTATTCTACTTATAGTAGCTTATATAACGCCAAAGCTGTTAAGTACGGTAGCAATTTGCTGTTTGGTACTAGTCATTATGCAGTTAAGTTTTTAGTAAATTCTGGACCATCTGTTAAAGATAGTAAGCATCTGTCTTGATTTTTAATTTTTTTTTAGATCTACGGTAACTACTGATGGTTATTCTCTTGGTTACATTAGCATGAAGGTTTAAGCAGGCATGGAAAATTCTTAGGATACGTGAAAGTCAGGATAATTTGTTTTAATACTGGATATTGCTAGTATGAGATGATAAAAGTTAGGGTTTTTAGATTAAAGGAGTTTCATGCTGTTACTGCTCTTGGTGGTGGCGGCTTTGTGACTGATAGTAAAAAGTTCATGAGCAATCTAGGTGTATTGGTCGTAGTAATGTTCCTTTGGCATAAGATGCCTGGCTTAAGTCACTGCAGTCCTGCTAAGTGGTCTGAGAGAGCAGAATGCTTAAATATAAGATGCCTGCTTTCTGTGTTCCTGTTGGCACATTTTATAACTTTTTATATTGGCTATATGATATTTTTGGGTTGTTCTATCTATATTGGAAGTGAATATAGAGTAAACTGTCAATTCTAGAGACAGTATTTCTTATGATTTATAATTCTGTAAAATGTAGAGTTCTTACTCTAAATATATTAAAGCAATATGAATGTAAAATGGTTGCTCTAGAATTTCTCTAGATTATTTTCTTTCGATTAGGGCAATTAACTATTGCCAACATATCCAAGTATTTCTATAGTTTAAATGCAGGACGAATATGAATAGGGAGAACATTTTCTTACATAATGAGTAGATTTTCCTATGAATTTGTCACTGGAAATGCTGAGCTGCAGAACAATTTCCTTCATAGCACAAATGGTATAAAAGCCTCGATCAGTTGAAAGTGGGAGCTTGTTAAAAATCTTTCTTTTTCTAGATGGTTGATTTTTCTTGAATCATATGTAAGGAATTGTTAGGTCTGTGAAGAAAAGAATTTCCTTTGATAGTACTCAAATATCTCTATCTCAGATACTAACTAGAAACTAGTGTATCTCTTTGAATATTATTTGAAAAAAGGAGAACTTGTGCAGTTGGTATGTTTTTGGTTCTTACCATTTTAAGAGATATTTTGAACTCTGGCTTTAGTATTTGATAGTAGGATCCATCATTAATCAGTTGGAAGGCTGGAGAAAATGCAAGTATTGTCTCTGAATTTATCAACAACTAGAGGCTCGCTGCATGAAATTCATGCAAGGGGCTTGGCCCTCGCAGCCCCGGCTTCGTCCAGAAAGACGTCCAGAAGGTTGTCCAGAAGGTTGTTCGGCTCTCCGGTCTAATTAGCATACTATGCTTTTATTATAGATTGTCACAAAAGGCACCTTTTTTGATGTATCAGTACACATCACAAAAGTATTCCTTAGTTACATTTTAAAGATACTTGTTAACTTACCTGAAATACGGAAGTGTGGAACAGCATTGGTAAGTGTGGACCAAGGAAGACCATTTGGAATGATTTTTAAAAATTCTAAATGTACAAGGCACATTTCTAAACAATATAAAGAAAACAGTGAAAACAGCCAGAGACAGTTTGTGCTTGCTCTTTTGAGATCTTACTATTGTATTCTAAACCTCTCTCATTTTCATGTGAAGTGATCAGAAATATGTATTGCTGCCCTAGCCTGTCTGGCTCAGTGGATAGAGCGTTGGACTGTGGACTGGAGGGTCCCAAGTTGGATTTCTGTCAAGGGCATATTTCCTAGGTTGCAGGCTCGATCCCCAGTGTGGGGTGTGCAGGAGGCAGCTGATCAATGATTCTCATCATTGATGTTTCTATTATATCTCTCTTCCTGTCCCTCCCTCTCTGAAATCAACAAAAATATATTAAAAAAAGAAAAAGAAATATGTATTGCTGAGAAGGCAAAAGGGTATTAGAATAAGTTTTCCAGACTATTCATATTCAACATTTTCCCTAAAAGACCAGATACTTCATTCTTTAACTTAGAGTACAGAACACTAATTCACTTTGTAAATCCTAAGTTAGCAAAATGACTGGTTGAAAGCTTAAGAGCAAATGTTAGGTTTATTTTTAACTTACGTTACCTTCAACAAATCACTTTAATTTTCTAGCTTATTACTTTTTATCTCTCTTTTTTTAGTGGAGTAATATACAGAATACTTAAAAAAAAAAATTCAGTTGGTAATTTGAAGAATTTAGCCCAACTGGTGTGGGTCAGTTGGTTGAGCATAATCCCGTGTGCCAGGAATGTCACCAGTTCGATTCCCAGTCAGGGCACATGCCCAGGTTGGGGGCTTGATCCTCAGTATGGGGTGTGCAGGAGACAGCTGATGGATGTTTCTCTCATCGATGTTTCTATCTCTGCCTCTTCCTTCCTTTCTCTGAAATCAATAAAAACATTAAAAAAGAGAGATAATTTGAAGAATTTAATATGATTTTAAAGACTAAGAGTTTTTAATAAAGGTATGGATGTTTTATACATGTTTTTCTCTTAGAAAATGTTTTTTTATGTAAAATAATTAAGAATTGGGTTTTAGAACAATTTGAGCCCTACTTTCTACTTGAATTGGAGATAAATTTTCTACTTTTTGTTAAAACTTATTTACTGCTGTCACTTTTGGATTAGCAACATATATTCACTGATCTCATGGGGGAAAGTTCTTCCTAAAATTCTCAGAACTGGTAGTTTTAATTCAAAATTTGCATTTGTAAAAATTTGAATATTTACCTGAGGAGGAAAAAAAATCAGTGTTTTTAGCAGTTCAGCTTTGGGTATTTATTTTATAAACATTTTAAAATTTGTTTAAACAATATAGTTAGTGATCAGAGATCCTAGATGCTGGTTATTTAATAATGGTTTATTTCATTCTGAAATATTTGAAAATTTTACTATATCTACTGGCTGAAACTTTGTATACAAAAAAAAATTAGCTGGCATAATTTGGTTATTTTTTGAAAAAAGTCAAAGTTTCTAGGTGGTTCTGAGTAGATATGTCCTACTTTTATATCTAATATCTAATGAATACTATTATGGGAAATTATAGAGAGTGTATTTGGAGGAATAAGTTTAAGGATAAATCTTATCTTTTTTTCCCCATAAATATAATCTCTATTCAGTTTCGAATAACATGGTAATTGTATACTTACCAGCCCAAACTTTGAGCAGCCTCCAAGGAGTAGACCGTAAACTTCTCTCCTCTGAAGGGGTTAACTTTAATAAGGGCCCTAAGAGACCATACCATGCTTTTGTCCTAGAAGGAATTGTCCTTAGAGGGTCTTGCATTCCTTTAATGTGTAGAAAGTTCTTTTTTTTTAGCCAGAGTAAGAGAAAGGAAGTGGATTTTTCTCTTCTTTCTCCTCCACTTTCAAATGGAATATTTGTGCTCATAAATTGCACAACATTGAATGGATTTTCTTCTTTCACTAGTAGATCATACACAAGTATTAGTAAAGCAAAATGCTAACAAGATGTCCATTGAGCATGCTTAGAGATAGGCAGAAACAGCTGGTTAAAGCGATGAAAAATAAATTACATGTATTTTTCTAGGCAGAATATGAGTAGTAAAAACACTGCTTTTAGCAATAGTATACATAGGAATATTTTAATGCTTTGGGGTGGGTTTCTCAACATAGTAAGAATAAACATTTCTGTGTAGATATCAGGACTTGATTAATACTTGAAGGAGATTAGGGAGATAATGATGAAGTTTAAATTTCAGGAGTATAAATTGACAATGCTCATCGTGATTTTAGATTGTTTCCTACAAACTTAGTATTTTATAACCTTGATTTTTTCCCATAATTCTTGTGCTAATTCTGTTTATCATTTCAGAACTACTCATGAATTCTTGTTCGGTGCTCTTGCTGAACTGGTTGATAATGCAAGGTACGTAGTCTTCTGCAGGCATGTAGTATGTGCTTGAAAACATTTGGGCCATTGTGACCTTTGCTCTCTGAAGACATGGGAGGAAGGCAATTCTGTAACAGCCATGACTCCTAAGAGGCTTGCTACCCAAAAGAGTATTTTTAATTGCACATTAGTTGATAACTCCACTTTATTTGATTAACTTTAATCCATTCATTCCTCGGTGTTCTAGCATAAAAATAATGAACTTCTAGCCTCCAAAGCTACCTTCCCATGTGTGTTAGAGCAAGATAATTGTAGTGAAACACAGGGAATTAAGATTGAAATTTAGGAATCAAATTAATGAGACAGACAAGCTTTGATTTAATTGGTGCTATCAGGAGAGTACACTATCTAATGTCTTTAAAATTATTCCAGAGTTTTGTGTCTTCCCAAAGTGTTTATTTTATTGTCAGATGACTCCAGTTGATCAAAGCATCTTTCAATTGTGAGCAGCTGTGCTTGGAAGAAATTATTCTTTAGCACTGTGTTATATGGACTTCTTAGTGATGAAAGCCTATCAGTGTTACTGTATAAGACTGAAAAGTTTTAAGTTGGTTCAAAGATAAGCAAATAAAAATGCAAAACAGCATTCTGTTTCTATTATGAATATATTGTTTCAGTCTTGTTTCTGAATGCAAACATAAAATTCAGACATTGTTTATTGACTAGGTGTTGATGACTAACAAAGGAAGAAGAGGATAAGAGTTAATAAATAGTAGAAGTACTAGTACTTTTAAACAGATCCCCAGTTAATGAGCTTGCTGATAATTTTCTATGTCTACCTATATCTATACTATAAACCTATACTATTATTACTTTCATTGTTATTTTCCACCGGACTATTCATAGAAGTGTGCCAGCTAACAAGTTATTTTACAAAAAACAAAATAAAACACCAAACTCCTATTTTGTTTCAATCCTGGTTGACTCATAATTTTTATGTTCTTTTTAAAAATATTGTAATCGCTTCTTGGCCTTTTGGCTAAGAAAAAGTGTAGCATCTGTTCTTATCAGTTTAAAAATATTGTAGTTTAATGGAACTATGCTTGAATTTACCACTTGTTAGCTTAGTGAGACCATGGTGTGTTGTGGCTAACTTTTTTTATATATCATGGTGAACTGGAGATTCTTGGGAGTATGTGTTCTTATACATTTTGCCAATTTCTCTCATATTTGAAAATGTTTTTATGTATTTGGGAATAGGTATGTGTGGAGTTATATGGTTTTGAGTTGAATTTTTGCATTTAAAATCAATGAGCCTGCATGATTTCCTTGCTTGCAGTTGCCAAATTGGGCTAGATTACTTCCAAACCTTTATGGAAGCCTTCATTGATGACTGAACTTGCATATCAGCTGATGGATAGAATATAGTGGGTACCTCCACTTCCTTTACTGGTTAGGGAGGATAAGGTTATGGGCTTGTGAATCAGTCTGCTGCCTGTAGTATGTATACCATAGGACTTGATTTTTTTCATAGGCCTTACAGCAGCTTATTTTCTTTTTTTCTCTCAATGTCTTGGTGAGAAGGGGAAATGCACAAGTTATTGGCACATTTTAGTTTTAGTTTTTAGAGAGGGAGGGAGAAGGAAAGAGAGAGAAACATTGATGTGAGAGCGAAACATCGATTGGTTGCCTCCCACATGCACCTCAACTTGGAATCGAACCCGAAACCTGGGCATGTGCCATGACCGGGAATTTAACTGGTGACCTCTTTTGTGCACAAGACCATGCTCAACCAACAGCCACACCAGACAGGGCTGGAACATTGTTGTTGTTAATCGTCACCTGAGGACATTTTCCCATTGATTTTTTTAAAAGTTTTATTTTATTGTTTAAAGTATTACATATAGTATTACATATGTCTCCTTTTCCCCCTATTGACCTCCCCTCAGCCAGCCTCCCTCCCCTGTTGATTTTTAGAGAGAGTTGGGAGGGAGAGGGAGAAACACAGAGAGAGAGAGACATCGATGTGAGAGAGGCACACATCAATTGGTTGCCTCCTGTATGCTGGTGCTGGGGATCAAGACTGAAACTGAGGTACATGCCCTTGACAGGAATCGAACCTGTGACCCTTCAGTGTTTGGGCTGACACCCTGTGGACTGAGCCAAACCAGCTAGGACTGGAACATTTTTTATGATTGTAATTGATTGAGAGAAACACGGATTTGTGTCAGTTCTTAGTATCTAAAGGGGAATGTTTTTACTTCTAGATGTTTTCACTATGAAGTTTGTATTTAAAATATATATCCAGGCTCTGTCTGTCATGTGATTATTTAAAATAATTTGGAGCTGCTCTAGGTGTTTTACAGTCAGAAAAGGAAAATAGTGTTATCAGGTATAAAAAGTATAGCTTTAATGTATGTAGAATGACCGTATGAATTCCTGAAAATAGATTCAAAATAGTACCCATTTCATAATATTATACATAGGTGGCATTTCAAATTCTCACTTGAATCTTGATTTTTTTTTCTTCCTTTTAATTTTGCAGAGATGCTGATGCCACCAGAATGGATATTTATGCAGGTAAGACACACATCAGTCTTTTCTTCTAATGCCCAGTTCCTTTTAAATCACTTATTGCTATGCCTAAGAAGAAATGAGTGTGAAATAACTGATTTCTGGAGCCCGAGGATATGGCACAATTACCCTAGGTCTTAGGTAGAAACAGGCACCCTGGTTAGGCATGTAATAGAAACCAAGAATTAGTTTACACCAAGAAACTATAACACAGGGTGACCAGATCTAGATCTATTCAAAAAGCCACCAGGAGGTTTATAGGGCTGATGGAACAGGGTAGTGGGGTGTGTAAAAACAACCACTAGTGGTTTTATTGGTTGGAGTTAGCAGGTGACCAGGTTTATAGCACACCTGGGAGCATGCTAGAAATGCAGATTCTCAGGTACCACTTTAGACCCACACAATTAGACACTCTAGGGCGGAGCCCAGAATCTTTATTTTCACAAGTTCTTCATGTGATTTGTATACACACTACATTTTGCTCTAGCTGATACTTTTCTTAGTCTCCTGCTTACCTGATCTGCTACAGAGTAGAGTCCATCTACACTAATAAAAGAGAAACATGGTAATTAGTGTCACTCCGCTACCCTTCCCATTGGCTAATCCCCCTGTCACTCACAGAGTAGGGCCGAGATATGCAAATTAACTGGCAGCCAAGATGGCGGCCAGCAGCCAGGCAGCTGATGGGAACAGGGAGGCTTGCTTGCTTCAGTGACAGAGAACTCCAACGTTCCCCGCCTGACTTGCCGGCCTCTCAGCTGCAACTCTAAGCAACTATGTTGCGAATAAAGAAGCTAAAAAACCCCCAGAAACCTGCTTTACTCAGCGGAGCTTCAGCCAGCCGGACTGCAACATTGTATCAAATACAGACGGTAAACAAAGGCCAGAAACCTGTTTTCAGCAGCCGGGGCCTCAGAGCTAAAAAAATGAATAAAAAAATAAAATAAAAAAAAGAATAAAAAAAAAAAAAAGGAGCGGTTGGGAGCTTCAGTCACCCGTCAGCCTGAAAACAGCCATCATCCCCTCACCCAGACTGGCCAGGCACCCCAGTGGGGACCCCCACGCTGATCCAGGACACCCTTCAGGGCAAACCAGCCAGCCCCACCCATGCACCAGGCCTCTACCCTATGTAGTAAAAGGGTATTATGCCTCCCAGCCCCGGGATCAGCGGAGCTGAGAGGCCTCCCGGCACCGGGATCAGCGTGACAGGGGGCAGCGCCCAAACCCCCCCGCCCCCCACGGGCCCTGCTCTGTGTGTGACGGGGTAGAGCCATAACCTCCCCATTGGCCCTGCCCTGAGTATGAGAGTGGCGGCGCCCCAACCACCTGATTGGCCCTGCTCTGTGGGTGTTAGAGGGCGGCGCCCCAACCCCCCACCACCCCCCGCGCCCCCACGGGCCCTGCTCTGTGTGTGATGGGGTAGAGCCATAACCTCCCCATTGGCCCTGCCCTGAGTGTGACAGTGGCGGCGCCCCAACCACCTGGTCGGCCCTGCTCTGTGGGTGATAGAGGGCAGCGCCCCAACCCCCCCCCCCCCCACGGGCCCTGCTCTGTGTGTGATGGGGTAGAGTCATAACCTCCCCATCTGCCCTGCCCTGAGTGTGACAGTGGCGGCGCCCCAACCCCCTGATCGGCCCTGCTCTGTGGGTGATAGAGGGCAGCGCCCCAACCCCCTGATCCACCCTGCCCTGAGTGTGACAGGGGGCGGTGCCCCAACTCCCCTATCGGCCCTACTCTGTGAGTGACAGGGGGGAGCTCCTCAACCCCCTGATCGGCCCTGCTCTGTGCATGACAGGGGGGAGCTCCCCAACCCCCTGATTGACCCTGCTCTGTGCATGACAGGGTATGGAACCCCAACCCCCCTGATGGGCCCTGCTCTGTGCGTGACAGGGGGGAGCTCCCCAACCCCCTGATTGACCCTGCTCTGTGCATGACAGGGTATGGAGCCCCAACCCCCCTTATGGGCCCTGCTCTGTGCGTGACGGGTGGCGCCGCAGCCTCCCCATCGACCCTGACTTGAGTGTGACAGGGGGCGGTGCCCAAACCCCCCAATCGGCCCTACCCTGAGCGTGACTGAGGGTGGCATCACAACCTCCCAATCTGCCCTGCTCTGTGCATGACGGGAAGGCGCCCCAACTCCCCAATCAGCCCTGCTCTGAGCCTGACCAGGGGCTGCACCTAGGGATTGGGCCTGCCCTCTGCCACCCGGGAGCAGGCCTAAGCCAGCAGGTCGTTATCTCCCGAGGGGTCCCAGACTGCAAGAGAGCACAGGCCGGTCTGAGGGACCCCCCCTTCCCCCGAGTGCACAAATTTTTGTGTACTGGGCCTCTAGTTGGACTATAAGCTTCATGGAGGCAGTGATCACATCTGCATTGTTGACTGCAGTTACCTTCATCACAGAGTCAGGCACAAAGGAAGTGCTCAGTAAATATTTACCGAGTAAACAAACGGTTGGGGTAAGCATTGTAGCTAGGTAAAGATGCCACACTGCCTGCTTACAGGGTTGAAGAGGTTACTGCTGTGTTGGCTACTCTCTTGGCCCTGAAGTAGTGTTGCCCATGACCATGGTTCTGGACACTATGAGCTGCTTACACAGTGTCGGTCACTGCGTGGCCAGGAGGATCCCCCACAGGTGGGTTTCTTACCCTCATAAATCAAATGAAAAATCTTTGAAATGAAGTCCTTGAGCCAGAAAGGGATCTCAGACCCACTGTTAAGGGTTGATTGTGTGTTAAAACAGCCTGCAAGTCCTGTTGTAAGAAACACAAGGGCCTAAAAGTAACTTCCTAGGTAGCATTCAAGAAATGGCACCAGTGATCTTTGGGGACTTTTGGAATGCACTTGGCTCCAGCCAGGTTCTAGGTCCCAAAGCAGTCTTCACGTACAGCTCATGGCTGAAGTGCACAGCCAATGGCCCGTGGCCACTTTTAGCACATTGTTACCATGATCTGTACCTGGCCCGTTCGCGTCTTCATGACACTTGGCTCCTTCTAGAATAAACTTGGAAGCCTTTTTGCACGTTACTTGCACTTGCTCCTGCTTGCTAGGTCTCATTTGGATTCTCTAGAGACCTTGATGAGAGGCTCTGCCACAAGGAGAAATTTTCTTATCTACCAATAGTACTTCCAGGAAAGTCCTTGCTCTTGAACTTTCAAGAAGCACTTGTTATTAATGTTTCAGCAAAGTTTAGCTTCCTGAACACTGAGTGATACTTGAAAATCTGTGGTTTATAGTACTTCTGAAATAGCATTTTAAATTGCACTAACTAGTCCATTTAATGGAAGGCGGTCATGACTCACTTGAATCTTTAGCCTGAGGGGAGGACACGCATTTTAAACAGATTCCTCAGCTTAGATCATTTTATAAAGTTGGTGAACTGCAGCTTAGGGGAGAAAAAGATGTATTCACTTAGGAACTAGGCTCAGGGCGGCGCTGTGCTTGTTCCTGTGGTGCCTTACGTAGACCTTTTAGTAGAAGTTCTCTCCTGATTCCAGTGCCTGAGCTGGTCCTCCTTTTCCACCTTGTCCTCGCTGGGTCAGAGGGCAAACTCTTGGAAATTCTAGGATGGGCCCTTTCCCTATATGGGGATTCCTTCTCCAGTGTTTACTAGTATCATATGACCCAGACTCAGTAACCACTTGCCATTGCAGAAGACAGCTCCCGAAAGAAGAGCATCTTTCACTCACTGGAATGGCAGTCATAGTCTGTTGCATTCCCTTCCTGTTAGCTGAGAGGCTCTCCCATGGCTGCTCTGTCACTTACCCTCAAGGACTCTTCCTCCTTGCAGTCAGGCCTATCCAGCTGGGAACCAGGCACTTTCGCGGCACCTGTACTATTTCACCCTTGGGTTGAGGAGTCATTTCAAGGACCCACAGCAAACAGAGGATGCGATGGTGAATACAGATAGCCCAGAAACTGGAGTTAGCCTGGGGATAGTCGCATAGAGACGTAGGAATTCACCTTCTAGATAGCAGCTGCCACCACTATACCCACAGCATGACTGGCTTGATCACTTTGAACTTAACCCACAAAGGATGTGCCATGTTGGGTTTGAGCAGTGTTGATAAGGTTTAGCATGCTGTAATGGGAGTACTTCAGTGTCTTGAGATTCACAGCAGAAGGTAGCGTGGAAATAACCCAGATGGAGACAAGCAAAGGGATGATTGTGGTATGTGTGAAATACATGTGTAGTCAGTGGTCCTGGGTTTGGTTGGATACTGGGCCAGGTATTCTGTGTCCTCCATTTTGAGTCTCTCAAGCTTTGTCATGAACTAGAAGGAATTGGAGAAGCTTTGGGATTTCCACTCCCAAGGGCCCTAACTTATCCTCGCTAGGTCTGTTACGAGGAGAAGCTAGGTTTGACCTGACCTTTTTGGATTAACCTTCACATTGATCCCCCTTCTTACCCTACCCATGTTGCCGCTCTTTGGAGGGTAATCACCCAGTAATGATGTCCTCTTCTTTTACAGAAAGGCGAGAGGATCTTCGAGGAGGATTTATGCTTTGCTTTTTGGATGATGGAGCAGGAATGGATCCAAGTAAGTAACCATTTTTATAAATACCGGTGTGTTAACTTGTTTTTTTATGGCCTCACTTTTGTGACTCAAAAATCCAGCAGGAGAGAGAGGAGTGTGTTGCAACATCTCAGGCATAATTCCACATGTGGATTTGCTGGGTCTTGTCCTAGCATGGGAGATAGCATCTGAATGGCAGCCTGAAGTCAGTCAGATTACCTGTCTCTTGACATTATATTTATCAGCTTGCACAATATCCCAGAGCTGAAACTAAAGGACACACACACACACACCTTATTACCATGTTTGGGTAACAAAACAAGGTCATAGTGATGGCTAATCTGAAACTGACAGGCCAGTTAGGTGTTGTGTCCAATTGCCTTATGGTTGTGAATTTCCTTGGACAGAGGTTTTCAGTAGACACACAGCCCTACTTGGGGTTAGCAAGGCTCAAACTGATTTTTGAGGAGCCTGGAAAAGAAATGCAGACTTTTCACTTATGCTTGCCATTTCAGACGATGCTGCCAGTGTGATCCAGTTTGGGAAGTCAGCCAAACGAACGCCTGAGTCCACCCAGATTGGGCAGTATGGGAATGGGTTAAAATCGTAAGTATCCTGGAAGCCTGTCACAGGATTCAAAACAAAATCAAGCAATGCTCCTGCTTCTGTCTCATGAGAGCTTTCTTGCATCCATCACTGTAACTCTGTAACAGAAGGAAAGTCAGAAAGGAATGGATTGGGGACTTACTGTTGTTCAGCCTTGTGTACTTTACAGAACAAAAGTATGGATGCCCAAAACCAGTTGCAGGAGAAGCTGTAGGTTTCTCTTGGCACTGTGCTCTGGTACTGTACCTCTCTTCCTGTTGAAAATGTCTTACCCTGTAGTTGAGGTATGGCGTGATAGTTTTGTGGGATTGGGATATATCTGAGATAGTGAGGAAGTTGCTTCGTGGCGCAGCAGTGGTCCCTGAGCACCTGCCATATGTCATGCTTTGTGCTAGGCATTGGGGATCCAGGGTGAGTCACATCCAGATCTCCATCCTAAAGGACATGGTCTCCACTTGCATGCCCGCTAGGTCCTGTGGCAGGGACCTACCTAATGTCTTCAGATCCCTTGGGTCTTCTTTCTCAGACCTTGGTTCCCACTTGTTTGGTGTTTGGAATGTGTTGTTCTGGCTTTGAGTGAAGCCCCAAGAGAAAGGTTTCTATTTCTGAAATGCTCACTACCAGCTGTACGTATCCTTGGATCGAATAAGACGCAGTGGAATTGGAGTTTGTACAAATGGAATTCTGTGTCATGTTTTCAGTCTTGCTGTGGAGACATGTTGTTTTCTTTGAGAGAGTGGTGGTTTGGCCCGTCAACAGCATTAGTTGTCCCTCACATGCAGTGTGCTTTGGGTGTGTGGGGAAGAACGAAAGTGCTTCCAAAGACATGGTACCTGGACTTTTTGATTTGTCTCTTAGGACAGGAACCAGATGGTATCCACAGGCACTTACCATGTGCCAGGCACGGTGCTAAAAGCTTAACTGATCTTGTTCAATCCTCCCTGTGGTCATGTGAGGTGTCGGTACTGTTATGCTCATTTTGAGATGCGGAGATTGAGGTTTATAGGGGCGAAATGATTTGCCCCAAAATATAAAGGTGCCCAAGTGTAGAGCAAAGACATAAACCAGAATTTCTGACTGCAAATTGTGTCTGTTTCACTTAAGTCAGACAAACTAAAATCCAAATCTTACCTCACTTAGTTAGTTATTTGAGCCTCAGCTTCCTCCTTTATAAATTGGGATTATATCATACATACCAGTGTGACGGTCAGTGTGATGGTAACGAAACCCTGACTTGCCCCCTGGATTGGAGGCCCGGTTTCTCCTACCTGTTTTATCAGTTCCCTGGCCTCAGATAAACATTTCACCTCTCTGAATATCTATTTCCTAATCTAGGATATAGGATTCTAATCTCTGACATTCTCCCTTACGGAGCAAGTTTTAGGAGCAAATGAGATATGACTCTCAAAGCGCTTAGAAGACCGGAAAGGAGAGAGTACCGAAGTTGAGGGTGATGTCGTTAGCATATTTTTAGTAGAACAATTGTAAAGGACCCATTGAGATGGAGCCATCTAGTGTTCAGAGTGAATTCATTCTGATACCAATTCAGAAGCTGAAAAGGTTTTCGGAGGAAGTGATTTGTGGTGAGAATAGGGCTGAGAAGCAGGGAAGCCGAGAGGAAGTGGCATTTTGGGATTGTTGCTATCCGGTTCAAAGACAGCGGGAAGAACGAGGCACAAATTGGGAGTTTTTGCCAATTTAGGGCAAGAATAAGTTCTGACAGAGGCAAGGTACTGTGCCTCATTTTGCCACCCAAAAGCTTTAGGGAAGGAGGACTGTGAAATTGCCGGGGAAGGAGCATTGCCAGAACTTTGGAAATGGAAGAGGAGAAACAGAACTTGGCAGCCCCCAGGGTGTCTCTGCATAGTGTCCTGGGAGTTGTCCGGAGCATTTAGGATAATGGGACATGGCATTCATTTGGTTGTTTGGCATACCAGTCTGGTTTGTATTTGTACATAGATGAGAGTAATAAGGCTCCTTATTGCCATCACCTCCCTCGGGCATGACGAGGACTAATGAGATAATAGCCATAAAGTCCCAGAAGCTGCTCAGAAGAAAGGAACTAAATAGCCCCATTGTTCAGTGGGGAGTCCTCCCATGGGTGCTCATGCTTCTGCTGGACAACTGTTCCATGCTGCCTGGGAAGGCCTGTCCTGGCCTGTTCCTCAGATGGTTTCACATGGCCAGACAGGAAGGAAGCAGTTGATTCCTGGAGGCACATTGCCCAGGAACTAGTTGCATCCAGAAGCAGGGACCTGCCTGTGTCATAATGAGCTTGAGGTGGTCAAACAGTTCTGAGACAGAAGATGGCTGTACTTACAGGACCTGAGTCAATTATAGGCCCCCTCGACAACTGTGATCAAGAATTATATTTTACATGGTTAACCTTGGGATCGTACTGTTTTTTGTTTGTTTTGTTTTTTATTTTTATTTTTTGAGGACTTGTGAGCGTAGGTAGTGGGCTGTTCCCTAGATGGTGCTGCCATTTAATGAGTAGATGTTAGGGGAGTTTGTGTCAATGAAGAAAGAACAGGATGGGAATTGGTTGTGGTAGCATGGACGCTGATGTGTTAAAGGTATCAGTTACTGGAGTGAAATCTGGAGGGGATAGCAGCCCTTGTGTGGCTGGGATGAACCTGGCGCATGAGCAGCAGGGTTACATTGTAGCAACACCTGGGGGTGAGACTAACTAGAACTGATGATCAGCAGTGAATGTGCCCTCGAAGGGTGGTGAGAGAGCCCTGCACGGCGGGTAAGTGTGGTCGAGGTTATAATGGAAGAGCAGAGGGAGGAGTGTCAGGTGGGAGGAGTGGGGGCGAGGCCTGTGGAACTCGGCTCAGGGTCCTGAGACCGCAGGAGGCCTGTAGGAGAGCGCTCCAAGGCAGTTCGGTCACGACGGGTAGACTTGCTCCTTTCTCAGATGAGCTTTCGAGTCCCTGGGAGAATGACCCAGTTCTGCTTCCCTTTCAGAGGCTCCATGCGCATCGGGAAGGATTTTATCCTCTTCACCAAGAAGGACGACACCATGACCTGCCTCTTCCTGTCTCGCACCTTTCATGAGGAGGAAGGCATTGATGAAGTAGGTCCCCTCCACTCCACATTTCCTGGGTCTGCCCGGGCTGTTCTCATAGGTCAGTGATGGCGAACCTTTTGAGCTCGGTGTGTCAGCATTTTGAAAAACCCTAACTTAACTCTGGTGCGTGTCACATATAGAAATTTTTTGACATTTGCAACCATAGTAAAACAAAGACTTATATTTTTGATATTTATTTTATATATTTAAATGCCATTAACAAAGAAAAATCAACCAAAAAAATGAGTTCATGTGTCACGTCTGATACGCGGGTCATAGGTTCGCCATCACTGTCATAGGTCATTTGCAGTGCTGGGCTCATTGGGGTTGCAGGATTGCAGCCATGCCCCTGTTAATTGGGTTAGCTGGTTGAATGAATTGGTGGAGGGGTGAAGGCAGATATCTTAATGTGAGAGGAAGCAAAACCTCAACGCTTCAGGCCGAGTGGCCGGAACCAAGATTTGTATATGCAGCTCCCCTAGATCTGCAGCTTGAATTAATCTGGTGGGTGTCAGTATGGAAAGTTGTCGTATCAAGGGGAGGATTTGAGGCTTCCAGAACTGTGGGTGGAAACCACAGCTGCAATAATAATAGGAACAGTACTGTCTTTCCCATATTATGGTGATTTTGTGGAATGTGCTATGAGCACATTTTTTCTCCGTCTTTTGTTAATTCTCACCCGAGGACTCCCCCCCTCTTCCCCATTAATTTTTAGAGTGTAAGGGAGGGAGAGAGAGAAAAACATCAATGTGAGAGACACATCGATTGGCTGCCTCCTGCACATGCCCCGACTGGGGTAAGGGATTGAGCCTGCGACTGAGACCCTTCAGTCTCCTGGCTGATGCTCTAACCACTGAGAAAACTGCTAGGGCAGCACATTTTTCTTTTGAGGAAATGTGTTTGCTCTAACTATCTATGTCAGAAGCTACAGGTCAGATACCGATAGGGCCTCAGTAGGTACTAAAGCTGGTGAGCATACAGAAAAGATCAGTGTATGTACTTCGCTAAATGGCAGCTGGCATCAGCCTCAGCTGATTATTGCTATGCTGGAAGGAAGGCCTACAGAATGTACAGTATCTGTTTTCAGATGATCTGCAGAGCTGATCTGGTGAGGCCTTTGCCCGCTCATGGGATGGGGGTGGGGGAGTGGGGAGAGACGTGGATTAGAGAAGGCCTTGGTCTGCTAGCCTTAGATTAGACTCTGATCTCCTTTCATATGTGAGAAATGGAGGCAGAGCTTGCAAGAAGGGGGTGAGAGTACCTGTAGAGAGAAATCTATGGCTGTCACATCAACAGGTAGGTGAATTCAGTTTCAATCTAATTTATTTCTGTTGGTGAACCATGATTAGATTAAATTTATACTAGCCCTGTTTAGATGTGCGCCTAAATCATCACAGATTCATTCATGTTGGGAATAAAAGGCTATCTTTTTTTGCCATCTTTACTTGGTAAGCCAGCAAGTTAAGCTTGCCTTTGTGGTGAGTGTCAGCATACCTGACGTGAGGGGAGCCTGCAGCTGGAAAGAGCAGGCTCCTGGGAAAAGGCAGGCAGGAGAGCTCAGCCCAGGCCGGGTCTTCAGGAACCGTCTGCTCAGGTCCCTGAGGGCTGGGGGAAGGGGCTTGGCCGGGGGCCACCTGAAGGGAAGTGGTGGCCTCTACAGAACAGGGAGACCAGGCCAGGCTTGACCTCAGGGCCTTGGTGAGTATGTGGGACTTTATTAAAAGCAGCCGTAAAAGGCAGTTAAAGAAGGTGTGGCAGTGTTAGGTTTGGGGTTTTTTAAAGATCAGTTTGGTTACCGTGTAGTGATTGGCCTGGGAAGATTGGGGTGTTGGAGTGGGCCAGGTGAAAGACCTGGCTGTGTGTAACCTGAAGGGACTCAGAGCAGGGAGGGAGCGAAATAGGAGCAGTCTTCCTCTCTAGCACGTGGGGCCACAGATGTGGTGTTTGACTGATGGAGGGAGGAAAGGGGACGGAGGGGTCTGGTTGACGCAGGTCCTGGTGTGGCAGTTGGGCCTGGCAGGCTCTCTGGAGCTGAGGAAGAACGGCGGAGGGTGCAGCTGGGAGGGGAAGAGTATTTTGTCCTGGACACTCAAAGTTAAGTCTGGGTCTGGAGTCGGGGGAGGCCTGGCTCCCGGATTCTTGGCAGCAGATAAGCTCAACTAAAGGAGCTCGTAGAGTGAGAAGAGGACCTGGGATCTCAACCACGCGGGCATTTAAAGGCTGGGAGAGGAGAAAGTGCCAGGAGACAGGAGTGGCCAGAGTGGTAGGGGGAACCAGAACAGAGGAGAAGTGTTCGGATGGCAGGGGTGGGTGCCAATGGGAATGAATGAATGCCCACAGTTGAAATAATGCCATTGTCACCTGGGACTGCTGTGAAGAATGGGAGGTGCAGAGTGAGGTACAAACTCACAGAACACAAATGGAACTCAATTCCCTGGTGAAAAAACTAGGTTGAAATTTTTTCCTTACTTGGTGCTAGAAGGTCACTGTTTTGGATTGTTACTGCAGTGCGAACTCAGCCAAGATTTCAAAATAAACATTTTTGGCTGCATCGGAATGTGTGCAAACCAGTCCTAGGGTTGGATACTCTAGGCAGGAAGCTTCTCAGAAACCAGCAAAATGCCTCAGAACTCTAACAGTTTATCACCCTGGCACTTGTTAAAGTACAGAGCTCTTTTCCTCACGGTGGGCCATGTGATAGCCACTGTCCTGAGAAGCTGACTGGGGGTGGGGGTGGGGGGAGGAGAGCACACTGAGGCCTCTGGGGAAGTGGCAGTTGAGAGGGTTTTTAAAGAAAGAGTAGGATTTCCCCCCAGCTTTATTGAGGCATAATTGACAAGGGTAGAAATTTCTAAAACGTAATTTAGACATAAGATTAAATTCCATACATAAAGAAGAGTGTGTTAAAATGTATGTACAGTTTAGAGAATAAATAAAGCAAACACCCGTGCAGCCACCATCATAGCTGATGCTAGAAGTCCCCCGTGCACTTCCACCAATCAGGTGCTTGTTGTGCCTCTAAGGAACTGCTCTAAGGTGACTTTGTGATGACTGTTTCCTTGTTTTTCTTCATAATGTTGTCACTTATGTGTGCGTTCTTGAATAGTTTAGTTTTGTGCATTTATGAGTTTTATATAAATGCACTCATCATAGGTTTTTTTTAATTTTGCTTCTATCGTGTAACATTGTGGGATTCATCTGTGTTGATGGTAGTAGCTGTTCCTTTGTTCATTTCCATCACTGCACAGTATTCCATTATATAAATATGCTGCAGTTTAATCCACTTTGTAGTGGCTGTTTTGCTGTTCTTAGATGTTGGCTGGTACATATGTACAAAAGTTTCTCTTAGAATATGTACCTAGGAGTGGAATTGCTGAGTTGTAAGTTATGTTTATGTGTAATTTCAGTTTCACTAGATAATTGCAAATATACTTTCCTTAGTGGAAAGAGTAGAATTATTACCAAACTAGGAAAATGGCCAGAGACATCTCGAGCAGGGAGCTGCCTTGGCACAGACCCCCAGGGCATAGCCCAGCGTGCCCCAGGGGACCTAGTGATGTGAGGCTGAATCCTGGGAAGGGCCAGAAGCCACAGAGCCTCTGGTGCCAGGCTGTGGAGCTTGGGCCTCACGTGTGGGGAGGGATAAGGTGAATGAATGCACACTTTAGGGGAAATGTCTGCCGGTGCTCACTCATAGGTGATAGTCCCATTGCCCACCTGGAATGCTCGGACCCGGGACCCTCTCACAGACAACTTGGAGAAGTTCTCCATAGAGACAGAGCTCATCTACAAGTATTCGCCCTTCCACAACGAGGAGGAAGTGATGACTCAGTTCATGAAGATTCCTGGGGACAGTGGTAAGTAGGCTTTGAGCCCGCATCACCTAGAAGCCTTAGCTCCAGAGCCACGGCGTTGTGGGAATGTGCAGGGGGCGCCTGGCAAAAAGGAGGGATTTCTGTTCCCCAGGAACACTGGTGATCATCTTCAATCTCAAACTCATGGATAACGGAGAACCAGAGCTAGACATAGTCTCAAATCCAAGAGATATCCAGATGGCAGAGACTTCCCCAGAGGGCACGTGAGTATGGCTGGGAAGGGAGGGAAGTCCTGGAACTGGTATCCATTTTCTCAGTTGGGAAAGCTCAGGAAGTGACTTTAGGGAGAGAGGGGGGAGCTCATTCCCTGGGTTTCCCAGTGTCAGAGTTCATGAAGCTGGGAACTCCACATCATCTTGCCATAGGCAGAGGGATGAATAGGCCAGCAGGGTCTCAGCTAAGCCAGAGGAAGAGATGATTCCTTGCTCCACCTCCTTGATTTGACAGAAGAAATGGAGGCCCTAGAGAGGCAGAGGAGTTGCTGGGTCCGTGGTGGGGCAGTGGTGGGGCTGGGGCTGGTGTCTGGGTGCCTGTGCTGGGGACGGGGGCGGGGGGACGGGAGGGGGGGGCAGGATGTGGTGCCAGCACTGAGGGAGCACACTTTCAAGGTGGCAGGAGAAGCAGAGATGCGAGTGGGGAGGTGGGAGCCTGCTGAGAGGCCGTCCTGCTGGACCCTGGGGGGCGGGGGCGGGGGGTGACCACACTCCTTTGTTCCCGTCACCTCCAGGAAGCCGGAGCGGCGCTCCTTCCGTGCCTACGCTGCCGTGCTCTATATCGACCCCCGCATGAGGATCTTCATCCACGGCCACAAGGTGCAGACCAAGAGGCTCTCGTGCTGCCTGTACAAGCCCAGGTAGGGACCTGCCCGCCCTGCCACGCTTTCCCAGGACGTTTTGGAGAGATGCTAGACGACAGGTTCGGACAGTGTTGACTGTGTTGGGGCCTCTAACTGCGTGTGGTTTACTGTGGGTCCTGAGGGAGGGATAGAGGTGGCCAAGGGCTGTGGAGATTGGCTGGCAAAGCTCATTGAGTGTGAGTGCCCTCTGTGACGTGGAGGGTGCCCTGCCTGGCACAGTGAGCTGTTGGAGCCTCTTGGCTTCAAGGCCGAGGGGCCTGTATACACTACACAGGAGAAAAGCAAAGACCCTGGCTGATTACTGAGGTTTGTTTATGCCGTGGGATTAATAACAACTGGGGAGCACTGAGCTTGCTTATCAAAGTGCATCCGGAGGCAAGTGGCAAGTAGAGTACGGAATTGAGTCTCTTTGCTGAAATAAGCTTGGCTCTGGTTCACCATGAGGGGCCAGGACAGTGCCGCTTGGGAGGAAGCAGGAAGTCAGGGCGCTTCCTGAGCTGCTCGGGTTGCCACCCTGCCCTCTTAAGCTGCCTTTTCCCCATTCAGGATGTACAAGTACACATCAAGCCGCTTCAAGACCCGGGCAGAGCAGGAAGTGAAGAAAGCTGAGCACGTAGCACGGATTGGTAATGTCCTCCTGTGCGGGAGGGGTTAGGTGCGAGTCGCCTGGGACACGGCTTATCGCCAAAGCAAGATCTAGGAAAAAGCTCCATCCAACACTCTGGGGCAGCTCCTCCTGCAGCCCTCCCCGTGCTGGCCAGTCCTCTCAGCAGTTTTCCTCACACTCTCCTCTTCATCTAAAACAATGTCAACTGCTGGGCTTGCCCAGAGTGAAGAATCCCACAGTGCCCTCTGGCCCAAATATTTGTGAAATTGGTGTTTATGACTCCAGGGCAAAAATTTCAAGGTCTGTCCTGATAACAGGGCTTCCTGGCTCTTAATGGAGAATGATTGGCTGAGGACTCATAGCTTCTAGCTTCTGCTGAGGGTTTAACTTGCGTTGCCTTGGGCAGTTTTTGACCCGTTTTGATTCACTTGGAATGTTTGAAAAGCATGTTTCAGATGTAAATAGTACCAGTTTCCTTGAGTCGTTGATTTTCCTTTTTGAACTGACTGTGCAGACCAAGCGGGGCAGTTGCTCACCAGCTCACTTGTTCCTCAGCAGTGTGTACACACACACACACACACACACACCACCACCACCACCATCCTTGTGCAGTGGGAACTTCACTGTGGGATCCAAGAGTGATTACTGAGAGTTTTAAGCCTTTGAATTCCTTATCATGGTTTCTTCTGTGTTTCAGCTGAAGATAAGGCCCGGGAGGCGGAGAGCAAAGCACGGGCATTAGAACTACGCTTGGGTGGAGACCTCACACGGGACTCCAGGGTAAGGCTCAGCCCCGTGCAGCTGTTCTCTAGCCTTTCTGGCCATAGGATCCCACAGCTGGGAGTCAAGAACCCCTTGCCTTAAAGCTGAAAAATGGGATGATGTTTGCCTAACCTCTATTGAACACACTGTATGGTAAAATCTTGGCTAATCATTTCAACATCCCAAAACCGCGTGAGGTATGGACACGTAGTATCCTCAGTTTATGGAAAGAGAAATTGAAATGGAAACAGCACTTGTCCCAGGTCACACAGCAATACGGATGCGAGCAGTTCTCTGATCTCCCAGTCTGGCACACACCTCTGTAGACTTTCAGTTGTCAGTAAGCCCGGCGAAGGGAAACATAGCTTTTGAGTTTGTCCCCATCGTCTGTAGAAAATACTAAGTCTCCAGGGGTGGTGTTGCATCCATGTGATTGGCAGTGGGAAGTTTTAGGTGTGTTACCATGCTCCCTGCTGTGCTCCGCTTGTTCCCAGGTGATGTTGCGGCAGGTGCAGAACACGGCCATCACCATGCGCAGAGAAGCGGATGTCAAGAAGCGGATCAAGGATGCCAAGCAGCGGTGAGTGCCAGGACTGGCCTTCGAACTTTTAAAATTAGGGAACTTTTACACTGATTGTTGACAGCTTGAGGAATCCCTCCCCACCCCGTAAGGTTGCTATTCTGTCACCAAGGTTGCTTTGAGAAAACCATCAATGTTGTAATCTTAATGCTGGTCACATGTCCACTGTAGGAGAACAGTTTTTTCCTCGTTCAGTTCTTTTTGAGCTAGGAAAAGGCAGGGCAGTGCCAACACCTTGAATTGAACACCAAACCTTTCTCACTGGCACCTGTCTGTCTGTGTCTCTCTCCTCCCCTCTCTTTCCCCCTTCCCCTCCCTCTCTCTTCTTTTTATCTCCCTTTCCTATTTCCTCTCTTCCTTTCCTTTTCCCCCCCTCTTCATTTAAAGAATATATAAAATGCTGATTGTATAAAACTTATAATATATAGGACATTAAACAAATGTTTTAAACGTGCTTATACTTTTACCACCTGGTGCTATCGGAATAACGCTGTAGATTGAGTTTTGGATCTTTTTCATTTTGAATGGGCATTTGTCCTGGCTCAGTAAATTCTCTCTCTGTCCCACCTCTGTGGCTGGAGCCTCTCTGGGCTCTGGGCCTTGAGTTCATTCCTGGCTTGTTCCTTGGCTCCTTGACACAGGCCTAGGTTTCAGGTTTCTTCCTGAGGGAGCCCACTGCTCTTCCATTTGCTTTGCAGCTTCTGTGATACTGTTGACATTTATCACATGATGGTCTCTTCTGTCACATGCCTGTTCATTTGCCTTTTCAAAGTTATTACTGTCACATTAGTGGCGTAGGTATGCAGAAAACCTGTGTTTACTCACCATGGAACAGCAGCTTCACAGTATCCCATTCACACCTAAATACAACTCTGTTTTGTTACCAAAGGCCAAAGTCGTATGCTTTTAGTAAGGGATGCTTAGAGTCACTGCGCACTGTCGGTCCCTATCAAGTCTAACAGGTTACACATTGAATGAAAACACAGCCCGACCAGCATGGCTCAGTGTTTGAGCATTGACCCATGAACCAGGAGGCCATGCTTTGAGTCTGGGTCAGGGCACATGCCCGGGTTGTGGGCTCCATCCCCAGTAGGGGGCATGTAGGAGGCAGCTGATTGATGATTCTCTCTCATTGATGTTTCTATCTCTCTCTCCCTCTCTCTGAAATCAATAAAAACATATTTGTCAAAAAGAATGAAAATACAAAGCTTTTTGTTAAACATGTCTCAAGTTTAAGCTTAACACCTCTTAAACACCATGGTGTTTGGGTTGGTCTACTAGAATTTACCTTTCTTCTTCTCAGAGCCCTTAAGGAACCTAAGGAACTGAATTTTGTTTTTGGGGTCAACATTGAACACCGGGATCTGGACGGCATGTTCATATACAACTGCAGCCGCCTGATCAAGATGTACGAGAAAGTGGGACCACAGCTGGAAGGGGGCATGTGAGTACTGCCCCAGGGGAGCTTCCAAGGCCGGTGCTGGGAGGGTTTCGGCCAGTGGGGTGACGGGGCTTTGTCTTCTTCCTCCCTGCAGGGCGTGTGGCGGGGTTGTTGGAGTTGTTGATGTGCCCTACCTGGTCCTGGAGCCTACACACAACAAACAGGACTTCGCTGATGCCAAGGAGTACCGGCACCTGCTGCGGGCAATGGGGGACCACCTGGCGCAGTACTGGAAGGACGTCGCCATCGGTAATGCTGCTGCTCTTCACCTCAGCCGCAGGGCACTGTCACTGCCTGAGGGCGTGAAATTAGGAAGAGGGAGAGGCTGCCTTCTGACAAGATGTGTGGGTGTCTGCCTTCCAGCCCAGCGGGGAATCGTCAAGTTCTGGGATGAATATGGCTACCTCTCTGCCAACTGGAACCAGCCCCCATCTAGTGATGTGCGCTACAAGCGCCGGAGGTCTATGGAAATCCCAACCACCATCCAGTGTGGTGAGTCGGTGGTCAGAACTTCTCCTGACTCCTTCCCGTCATAGTCCATGACCCTCTGTCCCCATGCTGGCCTGGCTGGACTGACATTCATGGTCTTACAGTCCCACTGGGGATATGAGTCTGTTCAGTGATGGCCTTGGGAGCTAAGTCTTAGGCTGTGCTGAGGGAGAGGGGCTGGGGGCGTGGAGAGTCCATGATACGAAGTTCCCGTCCTTGCTGGTGTCACTGTCCCTGAGAAGAGTTACTGTTCTGTAAGAAAGGCACAGTTGGAGCCAGAATGAAACTCTGAATGGCAAGTCAGGGTCATCTGTGCCTTGGGCCTGGCTTGGGAGGCCCAGGATGCTGACCACAGATACTGTTGGTAGGCGTGGCTGACTTTGGGGTTGAGGGTGTGATTTCTGTGTCACAGATTTGTGTCTGAAGTGGCGGACCCTCCCCTTCCAGCTGCATTCTGTGGAAAAAGAGTATCCTGACACCTGGGTTTGCTCCATGAACCCTGATCCTGAGCAGGACCGGTGAGCACTTTTCTCTGACGCGATTGTGGGTATCTCCATCCTCGCACCATGTTTTTTCCACTCTTTGGGTAAATAACTTGCTATGCTTCTTGAGATCAGTGCTCACATCTTTACATCTGTCTTGCTGCACGTAGTAAGTGTCCAGAAATAAGAATATATGTGTGTCCTGCAGTGAGTATTAATCCCTTGAACTTGGGAATTCTGAGGTGGTTGCTCTGATGAAAGGCGTGTGAGTTGGCTGAGGAGGAAGGGCCCTGCCTACGTGGAGTCTGTTTTCCCACGGCCTCCTTAGCACCTTCTCTGTACAGGTGTGAGGCTTCTGAGCAGAAGCAGAAGTTTCCCCTGGGGACATTAAAAAAGGACCCGAAGACACATGAAGAGAAGCAGAAGGAGCTGACAGAGAAAATTCGCCAAAATCAGGAGAAGCTGGAGGCCATGCAGGTGCGTGGTCCTGGGCGGAGCAAGGCCGTGTCATGTCTGTCTGGGATAGGACGGGGCCTCTCAGTGGCTCCCCTGCTCCCTCGGGCTCAGTTTCACTCTCCACGCGCCCAGGAGAACCGTTGGGCTTTCAGCCCCAATCTCCAGGCACACTGGTCTCGGGTTGGCCCTCATCATTATTTTAGACAGGCAGACTTTTATTTATGTATTACAAAGTGGTCCCATTCATTTATGAATGTTTTAAAACTTCAGAAAATGAATAGCTTACCTTAGAGGTAACAACCATTAACTGCATGTCCTTCCAGCTTTTTTTGACTGCCTGCATACACATAGATACATATACTGTATATTTTTAGTAGAAATAGATTATGATGTCATATTATGTATACACACACACACATATATTTTCAGTGGATAATTAAATTCTGTGGCTTTAAAAAACTATTTCTAAGTTATTCTTCTGAGGATCTATTAATTTTTACCAGCAGTATATTTATTTTTAAATATTTCTGCAAATTTGGCAAAGTATACATTTTATAATTTGAAATTTTTTCATGTTTTTAAAATTGGGCAGTTTTCCCAGGTGTCTGTGTTTCTTTTAGATTTGCTTATTCTCTCATATTTCTGTGTTTTTCCCCCATTGATTTGCCAGGGTGTCTTAGGTGTATTTGTGGCATCAGCCCTTTACTGTATGTGTTCCAGAAGCTTCTTGCTTTCTGGCTTCTGTGTCTGTGCAGATGCTCTCACTAACTCAGACGTCCTAGGCCCTTTCCCTTTTTGCTGGATCCCCTGTCCTTTCTTGGCCTCATTCATCAGGCCTTTCCCACCTTTTTTTTTCTTTTTTTTTGGCTGCTTTAGTGAGAATTTAGTCCAGTCTCTGAGTTGCTGGGTTAATCATATAGAATCCTGCCATTGCGGATGGTTGGTGTCTGTGTTTTTTGGGTCTTCCCAGTGAGAATGGGAGGCTTGTAATAGTAGGGCTGGGCCCCGGTTTTCTTCCCCACTGGCCTGGACGGTGCGGATTCAAAGAGCGTCTGCCTGAGTGTACCAAGATAGGTAAACACCTGATCATCGCATTTGTCCTGCAGAAGACCACACCCATCCGCTCCCAGGCTGACCTGAAGAAGCTGCCGCTGGAAGTAACCACTAGACCTTCCTCTGAGGTGAAGTAAAGCCCCGGCAGGAGAGGGGCTTTTCCTCAGGTGTCGTGTGCTAGGACCAGTGTTCTTACTCTTTGGGCTTCTTGTAGGAACCTGCACGTAGACCGCAGCGTCCTCGCTCACCTCCTTTACCTGCTGTGATCAAGAATGCCCCCAGCAGACCCCCTGCCCTTCACACTCCCAGGCCAACCAGAAAGGCTCCTGCCATCAGCAGCACCCCAAAGCCGCCTGCCCTGGCAGCCCGGGAGGAGGCCTGTACATCCAGGCTCCTCCAGCCGCCCGAGGCACCCCGAAAGCCTGCTAACACTGCAGTCAAGACTGTGCCTCGGCCTACCCCTCCAGTGCAGCCGCTGTCACCATCTCTACTGCCCAACTCCAAGAGCCCGCGGGAGGTCCCCACCCCCAAAGCCGTCAAGATGCCAGTGGTCAAGAAGCCAGAGCCCCCTAGTAAACCTCCCCCGGTGAGATGCTTTTCCCCTCGGTGGGGTGGGAGTGGAGCTGGGCAGTCAGTGTCCAGAGCTGAAGGGACTTAACTTGCTCAGGAGCTCAGAGCAAGTGGCTCTATTTATTGAGGCAGCTTTTCCCTGCTCCTTTCGAGGTGTGGGCTGTCACAGACTTGAACTGCCCCCACAGGCTCCTCATGCTGTAGCATATGTTTGTGGTCCGGTGACACACAGCCTTGCTCAGCTCAGTAGTGGGTGCTGTGTCTCAGGGAGGTCACAGCTGGCCCGTCGGGAGTGAACTAAGAGCCTTCCCCGGGGACAGCTCTGAGCACAGGTCCTCAGGGGCACGGGGCCAGGAGTTGCTGTACACTGAGCAATGTCAGGTGTCCTGAGCCCTGGTGGAGAGTGAGACACATACAAGCTTCTCTCTGAAGCTCCTTCAGGCCGGATAGAAGCTTCCTGCACCTCAAGGATTGACGTGGCTCCTTCTCTTCCCTCTCGCCTCGCTCTAGGCTACCCCTGGTCGGAAGCGGGCTCTTGATGCCTCTGACGAGGAAGAAGCGGAGGAAGAGGCTGAGAGGAGGAAGGAGAGACCCAAGCGGGGCAGAATTACTGTGAAGGAGGAAAAGAAGGACTTGAGTGAGGTAGGTGGTCGAGGGGAAGCTCTCTGCAGTCTGCACGGCTCCGTTTGCGCTGTGACGCGAGCCTTCCAGAGCGCAGTTTACAAAGATGACGGAAACGCGGTGCCAGGTAGGACCCTGCGGGAGACTGGGTCCCGGGTCGGAGGTCACATTGACGCAGAATCAGGGAGGTTTAAACCCTTGTGTTCTGTGTCCATGACATTCTGTCCCTTGCCCGCTATCTTGTTTATAAAGGTGACAGAAGCGTAGACACCTAAGATAGTGGTTTAATAAGTGGCACTTGGCAAGTCCTGGTGATTTAAACCGCCATGTAATCAGCAAGGCGGTGACGGCTGATGACCCTGGGCAGCCAGCCATGCAGAAGTCTGCTCTTCAGGGCCTCTAACCCTCTGTTCTCCTCACAGCTGTCAGACAGTGCTGAGGAGGACTCAGCTGACCTCAGGAAGGCGCAGAAAGGTGAGTGGAGGGAGGTACCTGGCTGCCGGTGGGGGAGGCGGGAAGTGGGGTTTCAGCCAGCAGCCGCTGACCCTCAGTGCTCACGGAGGCTCTCCGGGCTCTGGGCTCTGGTGCTCCAGTGGTTTCAAGTCTAATTCCAAGAATTCTGAAGAAAGCCCACCCTTGTGTGCATTTTTAGCACTAAATTCTTAGCACTGAAACCTCTGGCACTCTTCCTGCTGCTCTTTAGAGCTCTTATGACAGATGGGGGAGGAGACCAGGGTCACTGGGCCCCATGTCCCTGGCATAGTGGGGACAAGCACCCAGCAGTTCTTGTCCCTGCAAACCCTGGGATGACCTTTCTCGAGGTGTGTGACTGAGTGGGGGACTCTAGTCAGTTTTCTGACTTCTGTTCCATCCCATTCTCAGATAAAGGTCTGCACGTGGAGGTGCGTGTGAATAGGGAGTGGTACACCGGCCGCGTCACAGCTGTGGAGGCAGGCAAGCATGCGGTGCGGTGGAAGGTGAAGTTTGACTACGTGCCCACAGACACAACACCAAGAGACCGCTGGTAATGCCCCTCGAAGAGGCTGGGTGGACTGAGTTGGCCAGGGCAGCGGGAGGCTGTGTCCCATCCTGGGAGCTGGGGATACACGACAGAAACACTGTCCTCTCCAGGGTGGAAAAAGACAGTGACGATGTGCGGCTGATGAAGCCCCCTTCCCCGGAGTATCAGAGCCCTGACACCCAGCAGGGCGGTGGCGAGGAGGAGTCCACAAGGGCCCCGCCGGTTGAGGTCCAGCCGGCTGTGGCCGTGACAGACCCCTCCACTTCTGACTGCAGCCGTATTGAGCCTGACACCACCGCCCCGAGCTCCAACCACGAGACCATCGACCTGCTCGTCCAGATCCTCCGGTGCGTGTCGTGTTGTTCCAGGGCCAGCGGTGGCTTTCTCCTCTCCTGCCATTCTGACATCTTGCCCCCACCTGCTTTCTCGTTTAGGAATTGTTTACGGTACTTCCTGCCTCCAAGTTTCCCCATCTCCAAAAAGGAGCTGAGTGCTATGAGTTCAGATGAGCTGATATCCTTTCCTCTGGTGAGTCTCCCTGACCTTGGATCTTGCATGCTGCGTGCCCCCCTTGGTGCTGCTTGTGGTGCCAGCTCTCAGCTGTGTGCCTCCCAGCCAGCTTCCCCCTCTTATGCTAAGAGAATGGAGAGGAGACTACGTAGTGGGAAAAGAAGTGGCTTAGCTGCACAGGACTCTAGTGTCATGAGAGCCTGGCCTGAGTCCTCACTGACAGACAGTAGCCTGGTTTGACATTTTATGATGAATACATCTCTTCCTCTACCTGGGCAGAGGGGGTAAACCTGTCACAGGCAACAGTGAAGAACTTGAGCTCAAAGTGCCTAAAACTTGACTCTCAGAGGGACGTAGGGAGAAGCTTGTGATGTGGAAATGAGCACCGAGTCGTATTTGACGCAGCAAATGCTGATGTGGCGCCTCCCCTGAGGGGCCCTGTGCTGGGAGGGAGCAGCAAGAGTCCTGCTTCCAGGGGCTTAAGAGTCAGTGGAGACTTGAGTTTTTGCCGGGCAGCTGGCTATGAGGCGGAGAGCGGTACATGCTGTGGAAGTGGGCAGTTTGGAGGAGGCAAGAGAGTGGCAGGGGGACTCAGGGATGAAAAGGCATGTGGGGGAGGTCAAGGCAGCAGATGGGGGAGGGTGAGTATTTAGGAAGGAAGGGGGCCTGAGAGCAAGGATGTGATAGGTCTTGAATGTCTGGTCTTAAAGCACAGTGACTTATACTATGGAATGGGAGAGCCAGCCAAATGTTTGAGCTGATGAAGTTGTCCATCTAAACCAGGGGTCCTCAAACTACAGCCCGCGGGCCATCTGCGGCCCGCTGAAAACATTTATCCGGCCCGCTGGGTGTTTTTGCCGCTGCAGTGTGCGTAGGAATTTGTTCATAGTTTTTTTTTTAAACTATAGTCCAGCCCTCCAGTGGTCTGAGGGACAGTGAACTGGCCCCCTGTTTAAAAAGTCTGAGGACCCCTGATCTAAACTATGTCTAGGGCAGCAGTCAACCCACTTTCTGCAGAGGCCAGTTAGCAAGTACTTTCACCTTTGTAGGCTACCCAGTGTCTCGCAGCTACTCAACTCCACTATTGTAGCCTGAAAGCCACCATAGACAATACGTAAAGGAAAGGATATGGCTGTGGTCCAATAAAGCTTTATTTACAAAAACAGGCAACAAGCTAATTTAGCCCATGGGCCGTAGTGTGCTGCCCCTGCCCCTAAGAGCGTAGCAGCATGTTGGGTAGGATGGATGGATGGGAGATGCAGGGCAAGGAGGCTGGTCCAGTTGTAAAGATCAGACGTGAGAGAAGGGAATGGAAGCCAGAGTGGTGGGAGTGGACCAGCAGGTGAAAGCCATGTCAGAGGCCGTGGACAGACTGGTCATTGCCTGAGGCAAGTATGGGAGAGAAGTCCACATGCCTCCTGTGTCTCAAGCCTGAGGGAATTGGAGGTTTATGACAAAGCTGTTACCTGGGAGAGAAAGCAGGGCTTTCATCAGAGTAAGGTGATGAGTTGAGATTTAATTGTGTTGGGCCGAAGTACTGGCACTAAAATTTCTGGTGATGGCCAGCGGGCAGGTGGAGACTGGGGACTAGCATTTGGGTCAGGGCTGGAGATGGGGACCTGGGAGTCACCCTTATCAAGTGGGCTGTTTCATGGTGGAACTGGACTTGGAACTGCAAGATGAGTATATTCAACATGTTGGGCCCTCATGTGGCAGCTGTGTTCTTGATAAGCTTTTCCAAAGTTAAAAATATGGGGCTTAATCTCCATCCCACTTTAAAAAAGGAAATGAGGTGAGGACTTGAAGACACTAAGCCTTCAAGAGGTGCAGTCTGTCTTGATAGAGCCCAGATTTGAACCAGGTGCTCCTGGGGACACGGGTCTTCCTCTTCACGGTGCCGTCCGGCTTCCCTGTGAGATGAGAGGGGTGGTGCCCAGCGAGGAGGCTAGAAGATGCTGGCACTTTCGAAAGCCTCATGGGAGGCTCCATGCCCTAACTCTACAGACAGCCCATAGGACTGGCTGGGTTGGCCTGACATCTTGTCAGTCAGATTTGTTGCTTTAGCTTAAAGTTGTTGCCAAACTCAGAGCAAAGCCGGGTGTAGTGGTGGGAGCTCCACAGGGGGCTCATCTGCTCCAACCGAGCAGTCAGCAGGAGCGGATGAGCCTGCAATAGTCTGTGAGCTTATTCTGTACAAGGAGGTGTGTCACTTCATGTCCTCCTGATTATAATGCCTGAAATAGCTCAAACTTTAATTTTTTAAATATCAGGGACACAACAGAGTCTAGTGTTCATTATGTCCTTGTCAGTCTAAATGGTGGTCGTTTTCCCCACCATGCTGGACCAGGAGTTCCATAAGGCCACAGGGTCCTGCAGATAATTAGATTCCAGTACATACACATTCGGTAATATAACAACTGCTTGGAAATCTATAATTACTTTAAAATAAACATTTAAAAAAACTAATATAAATCCCAGTCAGACTCGAGGTATTATATACTGGACTTTAATACTTTGGAACAGGCATTTTGTGCTGCCAGTGTAATTATCATGTCGAGCGTGGGGCTTCTCTTGCCATCTTGGTTTAATAGAATAATATTCTAGATTGTCAGGTGAATAACACAGTTAGATACTTGCCAGTAACACTTTTTAAAGACAGTAGTCAGGCCCTGGCCAGTGTGGCTTAGTTGGTTGGAGCGTAATCTGGTGCACCAAAGGGCTGGTTGTGTGTTTGATTCCCAGTCAGGGCACCTACCCAGGTGGTGGGTTTAATCCCTGGTCGGGGTACATGTGCGAGGCACCTGATCAATGTTTCTCACATCAGTATGTCTCTCTCCCTCTCTCTCACGCTCCCTCTTTCCCTGCCTCCCTCCTCTCCCTCCACCTTTTCTTCCCTCTCCTTTCCTCTCTCTTTAAAATCAGTAGAGGATTAAAAAACAAACAAATGAGCAGTAGACAGGAGCCACCCAGTGGTGCTTCCTGGAAAGAAAGAAAGGTTAGAGTGGGTAAGACTGTATTGGTCAGGCAGGACCTGTTGGTTATGGCTTCGTGTTCATTAAAATGGCCTTACCTTTCGTATTGGTGCCTTATGAGTAAATCATGTTATAAGTTGAACTTAGAAAAGGAATAAAGCCCAAAGACATACGACCTAAATAACTTCACTGGGATTCCAGGTGACGTTTCATTTGAAACAAGTACTCTGCTACCATGTCCACCAAAACGACTATTAACATTCCCACCCCAACCTTTGGAAGTGCCAGGGGCTCGGGGAAGATGGGAAAAATGGATGCTGCCTAAATATGCTACACACACCCGGAGCTGCTGCTGCTGCTTGTTGAAATGGGTAGAAGAGAATTTTGGTCCGACGTTGTGGGTGTGGCTTGGCGCGGATTGCTGACAGGGCTTTTGTGAAGTTGGAAAAGCACGATTGAGCGGGGACTGTGTCCTTTCTGCCCCCGGGAATGGGCGGAGTCATCCTCACATTCACTCCTGGCGTGCTGTGGGCGAAAGCACTTCACTAAGTGCTTCCCTGTGTGATCCCGACCTTGTCCTCGTGGCAGCCCCGCGAGATGGCATCGCAGTCTCTCTGCTCCGGAGCCAGAGGCTGCTGGCCCTTGTGTCTGACACCCCTCCCGGTTCAGAGCCCTGTGCTGAGCCAGTTGGGGAAACCAGCGCTCATTTAGATGGGCCCTGGGGACCCCTGTGAGCTCATGCACCCCCTCTGGCTTCCCCCCCGACAGAAAGAGTACTTCCGGCAGTACGAAGTGGGGCTGCAGAACCTGTGCCACTCCTACCAGAGCCGCGCCGACTCGCGGGCCAAGGCCTCCGAGGAGAGCCTGCGCACCTCCGAGAAGAAGCTCCGCGAGACCGAGGAGAAGCTTCAGAAGCTGAGGACCAACATCGTGGCTCTCCTGCAAAAGGTGCAGGAGGTGAGCCAGGCAGCTCTCCCTCTGCAGCTGGACCACCTGGTCTCTTGGGGGAAGTGGGGGGGGGGCTTGGGCACCTCTTGCTGCCTTTTCCCCACTCACAGGAATCTGTGGTTTCAACCCTGGCTGCACAGCATCCTGACCAGGAGGGCTGAGGTGGTGCGGCTGCCTGGGCCTCCTCCCAGCCAGGCCCACGGTATCATACTCTGCCCTTGTTTAAACATTTCAGTGGACAACCTGGTTTGAGATGCCTCCCAGCCATGAAATAGAAGTCCTCACTTTTCCAGATGACGCCCAGATGGGATTGGGTGGCCCCATAGTAGAGAATGCCCCGTAGGATCTCCATCTTTCACCCGGGCAGTGAACACTGAGGGAGGGCCTGCTCTGCCCGTCCTGTGGTTACTGGGGCCACCGACAGGCAAGATAAGGTCCCTCCCTCATAGCCCGACACTCCAGGGCAGGAAGTGCCATGCAGGAAACAGAGAGGGCAGACGGGAGGCCACTTCCCAGGGCTTGAGGGGTGATCTCTCTGAGGAGGTATTTGAGCTGAGAGTGGAACCAGTCATGCAGGAGTGAGCGTGAGTGCTGCTGGCAGGACGGACCAGGGCCCAGACCTCGGGCAGGAGTGTGGGCTGTGGAAGCGGTGGGCCTGTAGAGGTGGGAAGTCACTGGCATCATCCAGTTTGCACTCTAAGACACTTACTCTGGTTGGTTGTAGGAGGGCCTGGCATGGCTAGAGGTTAGAATCCGGGACTCCAGTGAGGTTCCCACAGTTGTCTGGGTGAGAGATGCTGGCGGCCTTAACCTTGGATGATGACAGTGAGGAGGGAGGGAGTGGGCAGATGTCTAATATCTGAGGGAAAGGGAGGAAACAAGGGTGATTCCTGTGGTTTGTCTGGAGCCCGTGGGCGGAGGGAAGGCGGTGGCCTGTACTGAGGTGGGAACAACTTGGGGTGGGGGGCCTGGCTGTGTTGTTTTGGATTTATTGAGCCCGAGAAGCCTGCAACACGTCTACGGCAACCTGGAACTTGGGGTGGAGTGGGGCAGAGGGAAGGAATCTGGCATCATCTGTGCACAGATGGTCGGGGTGGGCGGGATGATCAAGAGGGGACAGGGGTAACGGCTGGGGGGTGGGGGAGAGGAGGGGACAGGGGTAACGGCTGGGGGGTTGGGGAGAGGAGGGGACTCCTTATGCCCCACAGAAGGGTGGGGAGGCAGGCCCCCCACCACCTTATGGCCCCCAGCTGACCCTGCCCTGCTCTGTTTCAGGACATTGACATCAATACAGATGACGAGCTGGATGCCTACATCGAAGACCTGATCACCAAGGGGGACTAAGGGGCTCAGAGCCAGAGACCAGCTCCCTGCTCCTGCCTCAGGGAGAGTTCCCGGGGGTGGGGGCTGTTGCGTTAGTGGGTTGGTGGACTTAACATTGGTTTGACTCACATGGGACATTGTGCTTTTGGAGGGAAAATGCTCTGATTCTTTGAATCTTCCTCCCTAAGTTTATAAATATTTATTTTTTGAAAGAAACGAGATGCTGCGCCTGCTGTGAGACTGTGCTTTCTCTGTGTGGCTCTGGGGCAAAGAGAAGCAGAATGTTCAGCCTGAGCTGCTTCTCAGCTCCTGGCTCCTGAGGTGCAAGTCCAGCATCTGGAAGCCGGAGAGGCTCCAGCAGGGCTGGCTTCTCTCCTAGAAGATGAGCCATGTGGGATCTGAGGGATAGAAAAGGGAGGGAGCCCCCCAGAGTAATGCTCCCCTAGGGATGCTGATCCAGGGGGCCAGGGGTCAGGAGGAGGCGTGGCTCCGAGTGGCTCCTGTCTCAGGTCAGGGATGTGTGGCCTGAGCAGCTGTCACCTTGGTGGTCTTTCAACAGCTTGGGAAGAAAGACCTTCTCATTCAACCTCACTCCCACCATGTCCCCGCTGCTGGAGTGACTTCCTCAGTTGACAGTTGGCAGTGAGGTTTCCCGCCTCGGTATCTTGAGGTTGAAGAGAAGACAGACGGGACACTGCAGACTGCCGGCCTGGGTAGCACACCAAATGCCCGAGTTCCATGGGGTTTCTTTTAGGAAAGGACCTCGTGTGTGGAAGAGCCCTGGTACTGATGTGGTGGGGCCTCCGTCTGTGGTGGGGCAGGGTCTAGAGAGCCTGATGCTGCTTTTTCCTTTATGGCTCCTCCGCCTGGCCCCTCATGCCCAGCAAGGCCCCCACTGTGGGGCGGACAGAAGGGGGTCTCTGAGCCCCACTTGCCCATAGGCACAGGTTCCCAGAGGTACCATGCCTTTCCTTCTGCCTGGTCCCAGCCTCATACAGCTGTGTCCCTCCAGCAGCCTCTCAGGGTCCAATACAAAGGCAGGAGTTGCTGAGTTTTCTCTTTAAGAGCTAATGGGAAAGTTCCAGTTTCATCCCCCGCCAACTCACTCCCCGCTCTGGAGACGGGGTTTTCTGAAGGCCGTGCACCACTGGTCTGTGATTTACACCGGCACCTCCCACCCCATGTCAGCGGGGGCTCACATGCCGCCCTGAGGTCTCAGGCCTGGGAGGCGGGGGAGGGAAGCAGGCCCCATGAAGTGGGAGCCTATCCTCTTGTGCGCATGGCCAGAGGCGGCCCCAAACCATATCCCTGGAGGAGACGGTTGTTTGGGGAAATACCGCTGAGAGTGACCCTGGCTGCTTTGGAAGCTTCTCTAAGAGCTTTGGGGTTTCTGAGCTGGTGATTCCTCCCTGGTCCAGTGCTCTCTCACCATCCCAAGCAGCATTTGGTCCCCAAACCTGTTCTAATCTAAAAGGAAGTTGGTTTTTACCAGAGGGTAATACTCAAGTTTTTTATTTACACACCTGTAATCAAAGTGCAATACTATAAACTTCTGGTGAGACTCCTGAACTCAGTCTGTTTTCTTCTCTCAGTAAAATCTAGTACCTTCCTCCTCTTCTTCACACCATGCTGGCTTTACACTGTCTTCAAATCCTCCCTCATCTCTGCCGTCTTCATTGTTCTATGTCTTCATCATCAACACCCACAGAAACAATTTCTTTAATGTTTTACCTTCGACCTCTGGATGCGCCCACTGTGCTGACTGCAGCCCGTTTGCCAGGAGAGCTTCTGCCATTCTTGGTGAGAAGAACGCAGTGGCCCTGGCTGGGAGGAGGGAGGTGGTCTGGCTGGGAGGAAGAGCCTGCCTTAGTTCAGGCAGCGGGAGGTGGACGAGTGCAGCAGCCCTTGGTTTTAAGGAGTGGGGTAGGGATGGGGGGCTTTCTTGAGTATTTTTTTAAGTGGCACATGCACATGGTAAAAATTTAAACAGTACAAAAGGCTGGACCATGAAAAGCAAGGTTCCCTTCCACCCTGATTCCCACTTCTCCCTGGAGACCATACCCATGCTGAGCGTGTGCACACGCGCGCAGACACACACCCTGCTCTCTCTCTCTCTCTCTCTCTCTCCCCCACTTAGTGTGTCTTGGAAGCTGCTTCAGAATAGCCCATATGGGTCTGTGTTATTCTGAACAACCACATAGCACTTCACTGATGGTGTACTGTCACTTAACAGTCCCCTATTTATAAACATTTCGGTTTTCGACATTTAAGAAAAATGCTGTGATGAGTGTATATATTCATTAACTCATCTGTCTGTATATGGGGTAAATTCCAAAGAGAGAAATGGCTGTCAGATGGCGGATATGTTAAAAATTCTAAGATACACTCCAGAAAAGACTTCCAATTTCAACTTCCCACCCACGTCTGCATCTACCATCTTCATTCTGCAGTCTCCTTTACTAATCTGAAAAATAAAAAGTAATGGATTTTTGAATTGGTTTTAACTAATTTAAGTGAGATTAAGCATCTTCATTGTCCAGTTGTATTTCTCTTCTGGTACAGGCCATAATTCTGAATTTTGGGTTAGGGACTCTACAAAAGAGTTTAAAAAAATCAGATGAAGCCCTGGCTGGTGTGGTTCAGTGGGTTGGAATGTCGTACCATTACACCAAAGGGTTGTGGTTTGATTCCCGGTCAGGGCACATACCTAGGTTGTGAGTTTGATCTTCACTCGGGCAGGTATGGGAGGCAACAGATCGATGTTTCCCCCTTAAAACCAATTTTTTAAAATCAGATGAAAAACAGGGACAAAGGCCTCAGTAAAGTGATCACCTTACATGATCCCCCTACCCCTCCGCCCCAGAGTGTCCCGTGGATTTAAAACCCCCCTTTAGGATCAATACTGTGTTTATTGCCAGATTGGGAGCAGGGTTTGTCATTTTTGTTTCCTAAAAGGTATGGGTTAGTAACAGGCTGAGGAAAACCTCTGGTTCCGCCTTGGTATCCATCTGAATGACACTGCTTGCTGGCTCCTCTTGGTCAGTTCCCCAAGTCTACAGGATTCAGACCCGTGTGCTGGCCACGAGGTCACAGCTCCAGGACCTCTAAGTGTTTACGACTGATCGCAGCTCAGACTGACTTGCCATGTGCAGAGAACACAAGGCTTGGCCTCTGGGTGCTGCCTCCGCTGGCTCTTGTCCCTGTTGGGAGGTGGTTCTGCAGCCGGGCCAGGCTGGAAGGGAGCTGCTGGCAGTCACCTAGGCCCCTGGAGCTCCCTCCGGTTCCCCTGGAGGCTTCCTTGGGAACCAAGAGGCCACTTTGCACTTGGTTCCCGGAGCAGATGAAGGGCGCTTGGCCAGGGGCGGAGCATGTGTTCTCCACTTCGGTGGCTGGAGCTCAGGCTGTCCTCTGCCCATTCCTAGCGCTGCCGGGCGCGCCATTTCCAGAGTAAGCACGACAGGCCCGACAGACAGGGCCTGGCCAGGCACATCCCACTCCCGACGGCCGACATGGGGCCAGGCCTGCTTCGCAGTCTGGCTGTTCCACCTGGGAACTTGGAACGTGCCAGGCCCAACTAGGGCTTCCTTTCAACTCCCAAGGCTTCCGGCAAATCACTGCGCAGCCTGGATCCTCATTCCTTCTCGAAATAAAGGCGTTGGTTGGTAGTTCAGGTCTCCCAGCTTATTTGGCCCAAGGCCGGTTCTCCACCCGGAATTTATCCCGAGGCTCATGCGACTGCCCGTCATGTGGAGTTGGTGGCACTGACGTTGCAATAGTGATGGCTCCTTGCTCCCCGGCCCCCGAGATTCCCTGTCTCCATTGCTCCGCTGCTCCCTCGGCCCCATAGCCATCCTCCTGGCTGGTTAACCATTTGGCTCCTCCAGCCTCCACGGGCTCGGGCTCTGGGTGCTCAGCGCTGCCAGCCAGGCCTGGAGGGTGGGGAGTCTGTGCAGGGGAACGGCCTGAGGACACGGCCCTCCTCTCCTGTCCACTCTGCCTGGGATTCTCGGGGGCCACTTCCTGCCCCGACAGCCGCAGGTTTCTTGGGCAGCTGAGGCCGCCGTAAGCCACACGTTGAGCTTGTCCCTCCTTCCCTGCGGCCACTTCCTCTATTGCAGCTCCGGGGGCTCGCTGCCCTCCGCTGTGCCCCGCACAGACCCATCCGCTACCCCGGGCTTGGGGGCCGCGCTGGTCGGACACCATATTTGTCAGAAGGAAGAGTTCTGCGTTCCTCCTGCCAAATCAAGGATCAGAACCCGAGCCCGGGCGCTGGCTTCAAACTGGCCATCTCTCTGCAGAGGCCTATCCGGCGCCGGCCTCTCCCAGGCCGCCCCGCGCCCTTCTCCACGCCCCGGAAGTGACTGCACAATCAGTGGCGCCTGCGCAGTGTGCTGCCCCGCACGTGCAGCTGCGTCCTGCGCATGCGCCCTGGGGGTATCGAGGCGGCCCACGTGGCCGGTGGTTGATGGGCCCGCGTCCGCGCCCCAGCGCTGGTGCAGGGAGAGCAACGTGGCCAGACGGCGGGGTCCCCGCACCCGGTGGAGGATGGCTGACCCCAGGGTGAGTGGAAGGCCTTGCGGCCGGATGGCTGGCTCACACCCCAAGCAGGAAAGGGGGGGATTTTCCCTCCGGAGTCGGCCTGTTAAGCCTGAGCGTAGATGAGACCTTCCCCGGGTTGTTCTCCAGCGTTTGGGGTTTCTGTGTGGATGTCCTCGTGGCGCGGTGCGCTGACAGCTGCGGGCGGGGACCGGAAAGGAGGCTGCAGGCCCGGCTCCAGGTAAGTGACCCTGCAGGTGAGGCCTGCTGGCCTCTGCACCGAGGCCTCTGGGTTTCACAGCTTTGGCTCCTTTTCTGCTGGTTTGTTCTTGGCTTGGTGTATGGTGTTTCTTAAAGGTCAACATTTTGGGGGGTTTGGGGGGCTTCCTTTCATGCTTTTAAAAGTTCTGCCCGCCGCCACCCTGATACGTTCTCTTATGTTTTGTTGCAATGTTTTTATTTTGCGCCAATGCGCCCTGTGGGGTATATTTGGTATAAGCAGGTAAGGCAGGAGTCAAGCTTTGTTTTGGGGGGTTTTTTCCCCCCCAAAATGGAAATCCACTTGCACCAGCTTCATTTACTAAGTGAACTACCGTGGTCGCTCTATTTGATGTTGGACCTGTTGGGTTTAAGATGTCCCCTAGACATGCCAATGGAGACATCCTGTTATTAGCTGGACAGGCGATTTCAAGTGAGGGGTGAGATTCTAGCTGAAACTGGAATTTTGGGCACTATGAGGATCTAGATGGGTCAATCTCCTATTTTTCTTTTAAAAATGCATTTCCAGGCTATTTTTAGAATTTATTCTTTCACATGAAATTTAAAATCACTTTATTCAGTTCTCTCCCATTCTTGCCCAAACCAAAAATTCTATTGGGATTTAAATAATTGCATTAAATTTAGATGTAAGTTTTGGGAGCATTGACATTTTTATGATCCTAAAGCTCCCCAGACAATAAAAATGGCTTCCATTTGTTAGACTTCTTTTAGATCCTCCAATAAGATTTTATAATTTCTTTATATGGGTTCTATAATTTTCTTATTAAACTTACTCCTATTTTATGGTTTTATTGTGAATGGGATATTTTTTCCATCTCTATTCCTAATTGTTAATATAGAAAAAGCTAATGATTTAATATAATCTACTTTTCTATCTTATGAACTCTGATAGGTTTAAAAATAAACCTGTTTTGTAGGTACAGCCTGCCTGTTTGCCAGTATACCAATTTAATTGCTAGCTTGCTGGCAATTAAACAATTAGCCCTGTCTTGTTCCTGAGGTGGATGGGAAGCCATGTGTGTTGTGGATGGAAATCACCTGTTAACAGCTGAGCAGAATGTCGGCTGTTGGTTTTGGCAAATGGCCTTTAAAGTGTGGAAGTAGTTTCCTTCTGTTTTTTAAATTTTATTTTTCAATTACAGTTGACATTCAATATTATTTTATACTAGAGGCCCGGTGCACAAAAATTTGTGCACTTGGGGGAAGGGGGGGTCCCTCAGACCGGCCTGTGCCCTCTCGCAGTCTGGGACCCCTCGGGAGATAACGACCTGCTGGCTTAGGCCTGCTCCCGGGTGGCAGAGGGCAGGCCCAATCCCTAGGTGCAGCCCCTGGTCGGACTCAGAGCAGGGCCGATTGAGGAGTTGGGGCGCCTTCCCCTGTCATGCACAGAGCAGGGCAGATTGGGAGGTTGCAATGCCACCCCGTCACGCACAGAGCAGGGCCCATCAGGGGGGTTGGGGCTCCATACCCTGTCACGCACAGAAGCAGGGTAAATCAGGGGGTTGGGGAGTTCCCCCCTGTCATGCACAGAGCAGGGTCTATCAGGGGGTTGGGGAGCTCCCCCCTGTCATGCACAGAGCAGGGCCGATCAGGGGATTGAGGAGCTCCCCCCTGTCACTCACAGAGTAGGGCCGATAGGGGAGTTGGGGCACCGCCCCCTGTCACACTCAGGGCAGGGCGGATCAGGGAGTTGGGGCGCCGCCCTCTATCACCCACAGAGCAGGGCCGATCAGGGGGTTGGGGCGCCACCACTGTCACACTCAGGGCAGGGCAGATGGGGAGGTTATGACTCTACCCCATCACACACAGAGCAGGGCCCGTGGGGGGGGGGGGGGGGTTTGGGGCCCCGCCCCCTGTCACACACAGAGCTGCAGGGCGATCAGGGGGTTTGGGCGCTGCCCCCTGTCATGCTGATCCCGGTGCTGGGAGGCATACTACTCTTTTACTATATAGAATAGAGGCCTGGTGCATGGGTGGGGGCCGGCTGGTTTGCCCTGAAGGGTGTCCTGGATCAGGGTGGGGGTCCCCACTGGGGTGCCTGGCCAGCCTGGATGAGGGGATGATGGCTGTTTGCAGCTGGTCACACACCCTTCAGGGTGGGGGTCCCCACTGGGGTGCCTGGCCAGTATGGCTGAGGGGCTGAGGGCTGTTTCCAGGCTGACGGGGGACTGAAGCTCCCAACCACTCCATTTTTTCTTTCTTTTTTTTTTTTATTCTGGGCCAGCTTTAGCTCTGAGGCCTAGGCTGCTGAAAACAGGTTTCTGGCCTTTGTTTACCGTCTGTATTTGATACAATGTTGCGGTCCAGCTGGCTGAAGCTCCACTGAGTAAAGCCGGTTTCTGGGTTTTTTTTAGCTTCTTTATTCGCAACATAGTTGCTGAGAGTTGCCGCTGAGAGGCCGGCAATTCAGGCGGGGAACGTTGGAGTCCTCCTTCACTGAAGCAAGCAAGCCTCCCTGTTCGCATCAGCTGCCTGGCTGCCATCTTGGCTGCCAGTTAATTTGCATATCTCGGCCCTACTCTGTGAGTGACGGGGATTAGCCAATGGGAAGGGTAGCGGAGTGACACTAATTACCATGTTTCTCTTTTATTAGTGTAGATTAGCTTCCTGTGCACAGCATACTGGTTAGACATTTATATAATCTGCGAGGCGGTCCCTGGTACCACACATGGCTAT